AGAAGATAAGCAGGAACAAAATAGTCCAGGGTAAAGTGCAGCAAAAAAGCAGCAAAGTAGAAAGCATTTTAAAGAAATAGGCAAATCCAATTAGGTAAGAAGATAAGCAGGAACAAAATAGTCCAGGGTAAAATTCAGCAAAAAAGCCACAAAGTAGAAAGCATTTTAAAGAAATAGGCAAATCCAATTAGGTAAGAAGATAAGCAGGAACAAAATAGTCCAGGGTAAAGTGCAGCAAAAAAGCAGCAAAGTAGAAAGCATTTTAAAGAAATAGGCAAATCCAATTAGGTAAGAAGATAAGCAGGAACAAAATAGTCCAGGGTAAAGTGCAGCAAAAAAGCAGCAAAGTAGAAAGCATTTTAAAGAAATAGGCAAATCCAATTAGGTAAGAAGATAAGCAGGAACAAAATAGTCCAGGGTAAAATTCAGCAAAAAAGCCACAAAGTAGAAAGCATTTTAAAGAAATAGGCAAATCCAATTAGGTAAGAAGATAAGCAGGAACAAAATAGTCCAGGGTAAAGTGCAGCAAAAAAGCAGCAAAGTAGAAAGCATTTTAAAGAAATAGGCAAATCCAATTAGGTAAGAAGATAAGCAGGAACAAAATAGTCCAGGGTAAAGTGCAGCAAAAAAGCAGCAAAGTAGAAAGCATTTTAAAGAAATAGGCAAATCCAATTAGGTAAGAAGATAAGCAGGAACAAAATAGTCCAGGGTAAAATTCAGCAAAAAAGCCACAAAGTAGAAAGCATTTTAAAGAAATAGGTAAATCCAATTAGGTCCAAAAAATTAAGTTCACACTTTTCTAATAAAATCCAGAAAACCAGGAAATATTAATCCAAGGCATGAGTATGCAATCATAAAATCCAAGAATCAAAACCATGAAACAAGAAGGACTTAAGCATGACTCTTCCTAGCAAGGCTTCCATGAAACAAGGAAGAGAACTTAACTTGATTCCAAACTATGCTTCATCTGGCTACATTTCCCGTACTTGGAACTTTTATCCCCTCGTTAACCTATCCCAAGCACTTTGAAATTGGTTTCGCTTTAGTTGAGATTCCCTTATCTTTTGCTGTTGGAGCCTGGCAGAATGCCGAAGTCACTGTTCGGTTTGTCTGTTTTGACTAATCTCCTCCCGTCTATCTATTTGCTCATTAATTTCTGCAGCTGGGCCAGGTGCCGAGTTGCTTTCAAGCCCCTGTAGTTCTAAAGTCTCCTATCTAAAAGCTCATTCTCCTCTCCACCTGGGATTTCATCCTCTGACCTTACGTCCCTTGAGAAAGGCTTCTCGGTCTCGTGGGCCCCTCTCTGGAATGTGGCCTTCACTCACTGCTGGAGACACAGACTGCTCAGTTTCAGGACTTAAAATCCCGTGCTGATGTGAGAGAAATCTCCCCATCCCTGTCCCTATGTTGCACTCCTGACTCTGTTTCCCTTCTCTTTCAGTTGTCGGAGAGCCCGGCCTCGCTGCCCCCGTGTCCTCCGGCCGAGACGGCGGCCATCAACCAGCGCGACCTCACCGATGCCCTCATGGACTCGGAGCGCGGCCTCCACGAGCCGGCCGGAGAAACCGGTAAGGACAGGACAGAGAGGAATATTCTCTCCCCTAAAATCGGCCCCATTATCCCGTGGCTTGGTGAGCATGAGCCACTCTGTAGTTCTAAAGCGTTGCAGTTTCAAAGCCTGGCTGTTTCCTGCCTGGGGGAATCCTTTGTTGGGAGGTGATCGCTGGCCCTGGTTGTTTCCTGTCTGGAATTTCCAAATTTTCTCTTCAAGAACCACCCTGGACACAGACTATTATTTGAGAACACAGAAATGCTGGACTACTCTCACAATCACCACGTCAGGCAACACAGAGAAGCCACTGAAATACACAAGGATAATGTCAACAGAAAGCAGGAAACCATGAAAATTAACACAATCTGGCTCCCAGTATTAAAAAATACTCTAAAATCAAGACAGTAAACAACGAGCAGCACTAAAAACAAAAACAAAACAAAACAAAAAAACGGGAATTCCAGACAGGAAGCAACCAGGGCCAGCTAACACCTCCCTGGTGGTGTAATGGGTTAAACCCTTGTGCCGTCAGAATCAAGACAGTAATTAAAGAACACCACTCAGAAACAGGAGAACAATCAGGGCCAGCTAACACTTCTCAACAAAGGATTTCCCCAGGCAGGAAGCAGCCAGGCTTTGAAGCTGCAAGGCCATTCAGTACTAATCAAGCTGACCAATGGCAACATTCACACTTCCCTCCAACAGATAAGGGTTCTTTCTCCCACCCTGGACAACATTCCACAGGTATATATATATATATATAGGATTCCCTCAGGCAGGAAGCAGCCAGGCTTTGAAGCTGCAAGGCCATTCAGTGCTAATCAAGCTGACCAATGGCAACATTAACACTTGACTCCAACAGACAAGGGTTCTTTCTCCCACCCTGGACATCATTCCACAATATATATAGGATTCCCTCCGGCAGGAAGCAGCCAGGATTTGAAGCTGCAAGGCCATTCAGTGCTAATCAAGCTGGCCAATGACAACATGCCCACTTGCCTCCAGCAGACAAGGTATTTTCTCCCACCCTGGACATCATTCCACATGTATAAATATATATATGATTCCCTCAGGCAGGAAGCAGGCAGGCTTTGAAGCTGCAAGGCCATTCAGTGCTAATCAAGCTGGCCAATGGCAACATTCCCACTTGCCTCCAACAGACAAGTGTTCTTTCTCCCACCCGGGACATCATCCCACAGATATCCAAACCCCACTTGCCCAGTTTCCAACAGACCTCACAACCTCTGAGGATGCTTGCCATAGATGTGGGCGAAACGTCAGGAGAGAGTGCTTCTGGAAAATGGCCAGATAGCCCGGAAAACCCTAAATCCAAAAAGGAGGTGGTGGAGGCTCCTTCTTTGGAGTCTTTTAAACAGAGGCTGGATGGCCATCTGTTGGGGTGGCTTTGAATGTGATTTTCCTGCTTCTTGGCAGAATGGGGTTGGACTGGATGGCCCACGAAGTCTCTTCCAACTCGACGATTCTTCTGGACCAGCCATTACCTTAGCCAGCCTTGGTAGTTGTTTTGGGGTCCTGAGAATGCTGGGCATTGTAATCCTGAATGGTTTTATTTATTTATCGTGTCAGGGGAAAGCAGACCATTGTATTACATTTCTAACAGAACAAAGCAAACAAACAGAGAAAATACAAAACGTGTGAGTTTGGTAGTTGATTAAATGTCCTTTGACCAGTATCTGGCCACTTGGAGCGCTTCTGGTGTTGCTGCAAGAAGGTCCTCCATTGTGCATGTGGCAGGGCTCAGGGTGCATTGCAGCAGGTGGTCAGTGGTTTGCTCTTCTCCACACTCGCATGTCGAGGATTCCACTTTGTGGCCCCATTTCTGAAGGTTGGCTCTGCATCTCGTGGTGCCAGAGCGCAGTCTGTTCAGCGCCTTCCAAGTCGCCCAGTCTTCTGTGTGCCCAGGGGGGAGTCTCTCATTTGGTATCACCCACGGATTGAGGTGCTGGGTTTGAGCCTGCCACTTTTGGACTCTCGCTTGCTGGGGTGTTCCAGCGAGTGTCTCTGTAGATCTTAGAAAACTATGTCTAGATTTAAGTCGTTGACGTGCTGGCTGATACCCAAACAGGGGATGAGCTGGAGATGTCTCTGCCTTGGTCCTTTCACTATTGGCTGCTACTTCCCGGCGGATGTCAGGTGGTGCAATACCGGCTTAGCAGTGTAATTTCTCCAGTGGTGTAGGGCGCAGACACCAAGTGATAATGCGGCATGTCTCATTAAGAGCCACATCTACTGTTTTAGTGTGGTGAGATGTGTTCCACACTGGGCATGCGTACTCAGCAGCAGAGTAGCATAGCGCAAGGGCAGATGTCTTCACGGTGTCTGGTTGTGATCCCCAGGTTGTGCCAGTCAGCTTTCGTATGATATTGTTTCTAGCACCCACTTTTTGCTTGATGTTCAGGCAGTGCTTCTTGTAGGTCAGAGCACGGTCCAGAGTGACTCCCAGGTATTTGGGTGTGCTGCAATGCTCCAGTGGGATTCCTTCCCAGGTAATCCTCAGAGCTCGGGATGCTTGTCTGTTCTTGAGATGAAAGGCACATGTCTGTGTTTTAGATGGATTAGGGATCAGTGGTTTTCCCTGTAATAGGCAGTAAGAGCACCTAGAGCAAGTGTTTCTCAACCTGGGGGTCGGGACCCCTGTGGGGGTCGTGAGGGGGTGTCAGAGGGGTCACCAAACACCATCAGAAAACAGTATTTTCTGTTGGTCATGGGGGTTCTGTGTGGAAAGTATGGTCCAATTCTATCGTTGGTAGGCTTCAGAATGCTTATTGGTAGGCTTATTTCATTGTGGGTGAACTATAAATCCCAACAACTACAACTCCCAAATGGCAAGGTCTATTTTCTCCAAACTCTACCAGTGTTCGCATTTGGGCATACTGAGTATTTGTGCCAAGTTTGATCCAGATCCATCATTGCTTGAGTCCACAGTGTTCTCTAGACCAGTGGTTCTCAACCTGGGGTCCCCAGATATTTTTGGCGTACAACTCCCAGAAACCTCAGCCGTTTTATCAGCTGTTAGGATTTCTGGGAGTTGTAGGCCAAAAACATCTGGGGACCCCAGGTTGAGAACCACTGCTCTAGATGTAGGTGAACTACAACTCCAAAAACGCAATGTCAATGTCCACCAGACCTTCCCAGTATTTTCTCTTGGTCATGGGAATTCTGTGTGCTCTGTTTGATTCCATTCCATCATTGATGGAGTTCAGAAGGTGCTTTGATTTTAGGTGAACTATAAATCCCAGCAACTCCAGCATTACCAAATGACAAAATCAATCACCCTCAACCCCACCAGCATTCCAATTTTGGGCGTCTTGGGTACTTGTGCCAAATTTGGTCCAGTGACTGAAAAAAAAATACATCCTGCATATCAGATATTTACATTACAATTCATAATAGTAGCAAAATTACAGTTATGAAGTAGCAACGAAAATAACATTATGGTTGTGGGTCACCACAACATGAGGACCTGTACTAAGGGGTCGCGGCATTAGGAAGGTTGAGAACCACTGGCTTAAGTTGGAGAGCTTCTGTTCAACCATCTCAAAGCTCCCTGCTTGAGCGGTGATGGCACGATCATCAGCATAGATGAAACTCTCTGTCCCTTCTGGCAGTGGCTGGTCATTTGTGTAGATGTTGAACATGGATGGAGCAAGCACGCTCCCCTGAGGCAGGCCGTTCTTCTGTTTCCGCCATCTGCTTCTCTGGCCCTGGAACTCAACAAAAAAGCTCCTGTTTTGTAACAGGTTTCCTCTGAGGCGGGTGAGATCCCGAATGGTGCCTTTCTTTCTTCTATTGAGGAGGGTCTCCCCGTGTCTCAATGTGTCCCCTCTTATTCCGCAGGGGAGCCTGGGCTCCGGCGGCAGCCCTCTCCCGTCTCGGTGTATCTTTTCCCCGGAGAGAACGGGGCCAAGGGCAAGGCCCCACCGCCGGCCCCAGCGGGAGAGGGACTGGACTTCAGCCCTTCGGAGGACAGCGAAGGCGAGAGCGAGGCCACCGACGACTTCTGCATCTTGGACGCCCCCGGCACCGGGATCCCGGTAAGGCTGGAGGAAGTAGGTGAACTATAAATCCCTGCAACCACAACTCCCAAATGTTAAGATCTATTTTCCCCAGACTCCCACCAGTGTTCACATTTGGGCATATTGAGTGTTCGTGCCAAGTTTGGTCATTATTTGAGTCCACAGTGGTCTCTGAATGTAGGTGAACTACAACTCCCAAAGTCAAGGTCGAAGCCCACCAAACCCTTCCAGTGTTTTCTGTTGGTCATGGGAGTTCTGTGTGCCAGGTTTGGTTCAGTTCCATGATTGGTGGGGTTCCGAATGCTCCTTGATTGTAGGTGAACTATAAATCCCAGTAACTACAACTCCCAAATGTCAAGGTCTATTTCCCCCAAACTCCATCTGTGTTTATATTTGGGCATATTGAGTATTCGTGCCATGTTTGGTCCAGATTGATTATTGTTTGAGTCCACAGTGCTATCTAGATGTAGGTGAACTACAGCTCCCAAACTCAAGGTTGAAGCCCCACCAAGCCCTTCTAGTGTTTTCTGTCGGTCATTGGAGAACTGTGTGCCAAGTTTGGTTCAATTCCATCGTTACTGGGGTTCAGAATGGTCTTTGTAGGTGAACTACAAATCCCAGCAACTACAACTCCCAAATGTCAAGATTCTATTTCCCCCAAACCCCACCAGTGTTCACATTTGGACACATTGAGTATTTGTGTAGAGTTTGGTCCAGATCCATCATTGTTTGAGTTCACAGTGCTCTCTGGATGTAGGTGAACTACAACTCCTACACTCAAGGTCAATGCCCACCAAACCCTTCCAGTATTTTCTGTTGGTCTGAGGAGAACTGTGTGCCACGTTTGGTTCAATTCCATCGTTGGTGGAGTTCAGAATGCTCTTTGATTGTAGGTGAACTATAAATCCCAGCAACTACAACTCCCAAATGACAAAATACATTTTTTTTGTGTGAAGGACATACATTGGGTTGTTAGGTGTCTTGTGTCCAAATTTGGTGTCAATTCCCCCAGTGGTTTTTGAGTTCTGTGAATCCCACAAACGGACATTACATTTTTATTTATATAGATACTAGGCTTGGGCGATCCAGTTCGTTAATTTCGTTATTCATTATTGATTCGTATTTAAATTAGCTTACGATCCAATATCGAACCATGCAGGAATAGTGTGAGGAGTAATTAAGAATCAAAACAATTTTTTCCAATTTTTGTAATTATTTCGTAATTATTTTCGTATGTCTGGTGCATTATATTGTATATTATATTATATTACTATATTATTATAATATTATATTATAATTGTATATTATAATACAATATAATATATTTAATATAATATAATAAATTATTATATTATATATTATATATATTATATTATTATAATATATAATATTATAATATAATATAATATAATATATAATAATATAATATAATATAATATAATATATAATAATATAATATAATATACAATAATATATAATAATATTATAATATAATATACAACAATATAATATAATAATATAATAATAATATAATATAATATAGTTATTGTTAGTTTTATCACACCAACAGTCGACAACAGAGGGAGAGGGAAGCTTCAGAAGTTCCCCCTGTCCCATTTGGAGGTTTTTTTTTAGCATATTGCGCAATCGCGTCCGCCATTAACGAATCGATTCGAAATTTACGAAATTTCGAAATTTTGAAATCTTAAATTTTGGAAGTCCTCAGAATTTTGAAACGCTAGCGCACCCTAGAAATGAAACGAGTTTAGAACCGATTTTTTTCTTGATCGCCCAAGCCTAATAGATACATAAACATTTCTGGAAGCTTTTGCTTCAAAAAGCGGCGGAAAAAAGTTTGAGAACCCCTGGGATAATATTAGGGTCCACTGGAAAGCATAACACGGAATGGGGGTCCTCTTGGGGGTTTCATCGGTGGTTTGCTGTTGCCCTTTTCAGCCTCGGGACGGGGAGCCGGTGGTGACGAAGCTGCTGGAGGGTCCGGTCCGCATCCAGGAAGGCCACTTTTCCCGGCCGCTGGGCAGCACCGACCTGCTGAAGGCCCCCTCCCGCTTCCCGGTGCCCGAGAGCCGGGTGATGATGCGGGAGATCTCGGTGGTCTGGCATCTCTATGGCGGCAGGGACTTTGGGACCGGCCGGTCAGGATTGGGGCACGCCCATTCGCCCAGGTGAGCGCCTTTCTTTTACCCGACCGTGCCTGGGTTATTTGAGAAAGGAATTGTGTGTCAAGGTTGATCTTTATCAGTTATTTATGTGGCTCGCAGTGCTCTCAGGAAGTTAGTGAAGGTAATGTGAGTCCCATCATCCATGATCCATCGTCCTCTAAACACCCAGGATGTAGAGTGGGTCATGGGGGCTCTGTGTGCCAAGTTTGGTCTTGATCAATCATTGGATGAGGGTCGCAGCGCTCTTGGGAAGTGAGTGAAGGTACTTCAAGTCCCATCATCCGTGATCCATCGTCCTCCAAACACCTCCAGGATGTAGAGTGGGTCATGGGGGCTCTGTGTGCCAAGTTTGGTCTTGATCAATCATTGGATGAGAGTCGCAGCGCTCTTGGGAAGTGAGTGAAGGTACTTCAAGTCCCATCATCCGTGATCCATCGTCCTCCAAACACCCCCAGGATGTAGAGTGGGTCATGGGGGCTCTGTGTGCCAAGTTTGGTCTTGATCAATCATTGGATGAGAGTCGCAGCGCTCTTGGGAAGTGAGTGAAGGTACTTCAAGTCCCATAATCCGTGGTCCATCTTGGGTTATGGGGGGGGTGTCTGTGTGCCAAGTTTGGTCTTGATCAATCATTGGATGAGGGTCGCAGCGGTCTTGGGAAGTGAGTGAAGGTACTTCAAGTCCCATAATCCGTGGTCCATCTTGGGTTATGGGGGGGTGTCTGTGTGCCAAGTTTGGTCTTGATCAATCATTGGATGAGGGTCGCAGCACTCTTGGGAAGTGAGTGAAGGTACTTCAAGTCCCATAATCCGTGGTCCATCTTGGGTTATGGGGGGGGTGTCTGTGTGCCAAGTTTGGTCTTGATCAATCATTGGATGAGGGTAGCAGCGGTCTTGGGAAGTGAGTGAAGGTACTTCAAGTCCCATAATCCGTGGTCCATCTTGGGTTATGGGGGGGTGTCTGTGTGCCAAGTTTGGTCTTGATCAATCATTGGATGAGGGTCGCAGCACTCTTGGGAAGTGAGTGAAGGTACTTCAAGTCCCATAATCCGTGGTCCATCTTGGGTTATGGGGGGGTGTCTGTGTGCCAAGTTTGGTCTTGATCAATCATTGGATGAGGGTCGCAGCACTCTTGGGAAGTGAGTGAAGGTACTTCAAGTCCCATAATCCGTGGTCCATCTTGGGTTATGGGGGGGGTGTCTGTGTGCCAAGTTTGGTCTTGATCAATCATTGGATGAGGGTCGCAGTGGTCTTGGGAAGTGAGTGAAGGTACTTCAAGTCCCATAATCCGTGATCCATCGTCCTCTAAACACCCCCAGGATGTAGAGTGGGTCATGGGGGCTCTGTGTGCCAAGTTTGGTCCTGATCAATCATTGGATGATGGTCGCAGCGCTCTTGGGAAGTGAGTGAAGGTACTTCAAGTCCCATCATCCATGATCCATCGTCCTCCAAACACCCCCAGGATGTAGAGTGGGTCATGGGGGCTCTGTGTGCCAAGTTTGGTCTTGATCAATCATTGGATGAGGGTCGCAGCGCTCTTGGGAAGTGAGTGAAGGTACTTCAAGTCCCATCATCCGTGATCCATCGTCCTCCAAACACCCCCAGGATGTAGAGTGGGTCATGGGGGCTCTGTGTGCCAAGTTTGGTCTTGATCAATCATTGGATGAGGGTCGCAGCGCTCTTGGGAAGTGAGTGAAGGTACTTCAAGTCCCATCATCCGTGATCCATCGTCCTCCAAACACCCCCAGGATGTAGAGTGGGTCATGGGGGCTCTGTGTGCCAAGTTTGGTCTTGATCAATCATTGGATGAGGGTCGCAGCGCTCTTGGGAAGTGAGTGAAGGTACTTCAAGTCCCATCATCCGTGATCCATCGTCCTCCAAACACCCCCAGGATGTAGAGTGGGTCATGGGGGCTCTGTGTGCCAAGTTTGGTCTTGATCAATCATTGGATGAGGGTCGCAGCGCTCTTGGGAAGTGAGTGAAGGTACTTCAAGTCCCATCATCCGTGATCCATCGTCCTCCAAACACCCCCAGGATGTAGAGTGGGTCATGGGGGCTCTGTGTGCCAAGTTTGGTCTTGATCAATCATTGGATGAGGGTCGCAGCGGTCTTGGGAAGTGAGTGAAGGTACTTCAAGTCCCATAATCCGTGGTCCATCTTGGGTTATGGGGGGGGGTGTCTGTGTGCCAAGTTTGGTCTTGATCAATCATTGGATGAGGGTAGCAGCGGTCTTGGGAAGTGAGTGAAGGTACTTCAAGTCCCATAATCCGTGGTCCATCTTGGGTTATGGGGGGGTGTCTGTGTGCCAAGTTTGGTCTTGATCAATCATTGGATGAGGGTCGCAGCGGTCTTGGGAAGTGAGTGAAGGTACTTCAAGTCCCATAATCCGTGGTCCATCTTGGGTTATGGGGGGGGGTGTCTGTGTGCCAAGTTTGGTCTTGATCAATCATTGGATGAGGGTAGCAGCGGTCTTGGGAAGTGAGTGAAGGTACTTCAAGTCCCATAATCCGTGGTCCATCTTGGGTTATGGGGGGGTGTCTGTGTGCCAAGTTTGGTCTTGATCAATCATTGGATGAGGGTCGCAGCACTCTTGGGAAGTGAGTGAAGGTACTTCAAGTCCCATAATCCGTGGTCCATCTTGGGTTATGGGGGGGGGTGTCTGTGTGCCAAGTTTGGTCTTGATCAATCATTGGATGAGGGTCGCAGCGCTCTTGGGAAGTGAGTGAAGGTACTTCAAGTCCCATCATCCGTGATCCATCGTCCTCCAAACACCCCCAGGATGTAGAGTGGGTCATGGGGGCTCTGTGTGCCAAGTTTGGTCTTGATCAATCATTGGATGAGGGTCGCAGCGGTCTTGGGAAGTGAGTGAAGGTACTTCAAGTCCCATAATCCGTGGTCCATCTTGGGTTATGGGGGGGGTGTCTGTGTGCCAAGTTTGGTCTTGATCAATCATTGGATGAGGGTAGCAGCGGTCTTGGGAAGTGAGTGAAGGTACTTCAAGTCCCATAATCCGTGGTCCATCTTGGGTTATGGGGGGGTGTCTGTGTGCCAAGTTTGGTCTTGATCAATCATTGGATGAGGGTCGCAGCGGTCTTGGGAAGTGAGTGAAGGTACTTCAAGTCCCATAATCCGTGGTCCATCTTGGGTTATGGGGGGGGGTCTGTGTGCCAAGTTTGGTCTTGATCAATCATTGGATGAGGGTAGCAGCGGTCTTGGGAAGTGAGTGAAGGTACTTCAAGTCCCATAATCCGTGGTCCATCTTGGGTTATGGGGGGGGTGTCTGTGTGCCAAGTTTGGTCTTGATCAATCATTGGATGAGGGTCGCAGCACTCTTGGGAAGTGAGTGAAGGTACTTCAAGTCCCATAATCCGTGGTCCATCTTGGGTTATGGGGGGGGGTGTCTGTGTGCCAAGTTTGGTCTTGATCAATCATTGGATGAGGGTCGCAGCGCTCTTGGGAAGTGAGTGAAGGTACTTCAAGTCCCATCATCCGTGGTCCATCTTGGGTTATGGGGGGGGGGTGTCTGTGTGCCAAGTTTGGTCCAGGCCCATCATCCATGGGGGTCACAGTTATCTCTGGAAGCGAGTGAAGGTACTGCAAATCCCATCATCCATGGTCCATCCTCTTCCAAACCACACCAGGATGTAAAGTGGATCATGCGGGAGGGTCATGTCTGTGTGCCAAGTTTGGTCTAGGTTGGTCCAGTTCTGTCATTGGTGGAGGTCACAGTGGTTGAAAGTACTGTAAATGCCATCATCCATGGTCCATCCTCCCCAAACCCATTTTCTTGGCAAATAGAAAGGTTTGTGTGGTCAGTAGCTTCAAGGCGAAAAGAAGTCTCCTAAAGTCAGTGTTGGTTTTTTGTCTCCCTTCTCTCTTCTGACTTGTCCTTGTCGCTCTGTCCCATCTTCCTACGTTTCAGGGCCAAGCCGTCCCTCTCCAGCACCCGATCCTCCCCTTCCCGTTCCTCCTTCACCAACCGGCCCCAAAACACATGGCGGGCCCAAGGAGGGGCCAGCCGCGTCCATGACCTTCTGATGGAGATCCAGCTGACCAAGGTGAGCCGCGGCCAAAGCCTGGGGGCACATCGGGGAAGTTAGACCTCATTCGTGGTGGTCCCTAGCCTTGAGAATATTTTGTTGCACGATGCTGCTATGTGAAGTCAAGTTTCCAAATCACAACCTTCCCGAACCACTGCAAGCTGGATAGCAAGTGTCCCAGTCTATTTCCCAGTCAAGATCTATTTTCCCCCAAGAGCGCCTCAAGAGCGCCCCTGGGCAAAATCAACTCTACTGCGACGGCTTACTTTGCGTAAGGGTTGAGCCGCCCCTGTACAAACAGGATACGCAGATCCACTTCCCTTGTCTTGTAGTTGCAAACAAAGTCACCAAATACGCATACAACATAGGCAGATACTCACACTGAGTCACACAGGAGAGAGAAAGATGGATTCTTTCCTCCTCCTTATATATTACTGCAGGCCCTTATATATTATATCTTTCATCCTCCTTATATATTACCGCAGGCCCTTATATGTTACTGCAAGGCCTAGTAAAGGGGGATGTGAAGGAGAAGGGCTTTTGCCTGGGGATATTTACAATGTTTTACAACATATACAAACAGGATATGCAGATCCATTTTCCTTGTCCTGTACTTGCAAACAGTTTCCAAATACGCAAACAACATAGGCAGATACCCACACTGAGTCCCAGAGGAGAGAGAAAGGTGGATTCCTTCATTCTCCTATTATATGCAACATATAGAAACCGGATACGCAGATCCACTTTCCTTGTCTTGTAGTTGCAAACAAAGTCACCAAATACACATACAACATAGGCAGATACTCACACTGAGTCCCACAGGAGAGAGAAAGATGGATTCTTTAATCCTCCTATTATATGCAACATATACAAACAGGATACGTAGATTCACTTTCCTTGTAGTTGCAAACAAAGTCAACAAATACACATACAACATAGGCAGATACTCACACTGAGTCACAGAAGAGAGAGAAAGATGGATTCTTTCCTCCTCCTATTATACGCAACATTTACAAACAGGATACGCAGATCCACTTTCCTTGTCTCGTAGTTGCAAACAAAGTCAACAAATACACATACAACATAGGCAGATACTCACACTGAGTCACAGAAGAGAGAGAAAGATGGATTCTTTTCTCCTCCTATTATATGCAACATATACAAACAGGATACGTAGATTCACTTTCCTTGTAGTTGCAAACAAAGTCAACAAATACACATACAACATAGGCAGATACTCACACTGAGTCACAGAAGAGAGAGAAAGGTGGATTCTTTCATCCTCCTATTATATGCAACATTTACAAACAGGATACGTAGAACCACTTTCCTTGTCTCGTAGTTGCAAACAAAGTCACCAAATACACATGCAACATAGGCAGATACTCACACAGAGTCCCACAGGAGAAAAATGGATTATTTCATCCTCCTATTATATGCAGCATTTACAAACAGGATACTTAGATCCACTTTCCTTGTCTTGTACTTGCAAACAAAGTCAACAAATACACATATAACATAGGCAGATACTCACACTGAGTCACAGAGGAGAGAGAAAGGTGGATTCTTTCATCCTCCTATTATATGGAACATTTACAAACAGGATACGTAGATCCACTTTCCTTGTCTTATAGTTGCAAACAAAGTCAACAAATACACATACAACATAGGCAGATACTCACACAGAGTCCCACAGGAGAGAGAAAGATGGATTGTTTCATCCTCCTATTATATTACTGCAGGGTCCTAAGCCAGAGCCATCTCTTGGCATTCAAGTCTGAGAAGAAACGCCCAGGAATGCTAACAAACAATGCTGATAGTAATGTGCTAGCAGTAGAGAGATAGCTTGAGAATAGAGCCTGGGAATGGAGTAGTAAAGGGGGATGTGAAAGAGAAGGGCTTTCGCCTGGGGTTATTTACAATGTTTTACAACATATACAAACAGGATACGCAAACAAACAGAGTCACCAAAGGCACACACAACATAGGCAGATAATAATAATAATAATAATAATAATAATAATAATAATAATTTCTTTAAAACAAATCCAAACAGGATCTTTAAAACCTTTAAAAATCTCCTTTCCTTCCACAGCACTCTAGACACTATAGAGGCTTATTAACTATTATCCTCAAATAGATATCTTTAAACCACAAAACAGTTCCCAAACTCTTCCTTCTTCCCCCCCCCCCCCCCTTCAGACTCCTAGCTCCTTCTTCCCCACCAAACCTGGGCTGTATGGCCATGTTCCAGAAGCATTTTCTCCTGACATTTTGCCTGCATCCGTGGCAGGCATCCTCAGAGGTTGCGAGAATTTCATCTCAAGGAGTTGCTGTTCAGAACAGATTTAATGTGGAGGGGGACTGTATGGCCACACCTGAGCTCAGCAAGTCTGCCCATTTGTTGTAGAGATGCTCCTTCTCCCTCTCACCAGGTGAGCTTCCAGCATGAGACGTATCCCAGCGGTGCCCCAGAGAAGCCCTCCCTGGAGGTGGAGGAGCAACCAGTGGCCCGGCAGGTCTTCATCGTCCAGGAGCTGGAGATCCGGGACCGCCTGGCCTCCTCCCAGATCAACAAGTTCCTCTACCTGTACAGTAGCGAAGGAATGCCCCGACGGGCCCACTCCAACATGGTACGGGGCGGGAGGCAGGCAGGCATCAAATATGGCGGCTGGGGGCTGGCAAGGGCAGGCCACCTTCTCAGGGTTGTTATCCCAATTGCTAATCTTCCTTCACAGCTCACCATCAAAGCCCTCCACGTCTCCCCTGAAGCCGGCCTGGGAGGCCCCGAGTGCTGCCTTCGTGTTTCACTCATGCCCTTGAGGCTCAACATTGACCAGGTAAGAAGAGCTGAGATGACTTGTTCTAATATTTTCACAAACCCCGATGACATCTAGACATTTGATAATCCAACAATGTGGCAGTGAGTCAAATGCTTTATTATTATTATTATTATTATTATTATTATTATTAAACACAACAAGATAAGTCCAAAGCAAACAAGGTCACCACTGGGACTATCTTGACTGGCTTGTTCTAATATTTTCACAAACCCCGATGACATCTAGACATTTGATAATCCAACAATGTGGCAGTGAGTCAAATGCTTTATTATTATTATTATTATTATTATTATTATTATTATTATTATTATTAACACAGCAAGATAAGTCCAAAGCAAACAAGGTCACCACTGGGACTATCTTGACTGGCTTGTTCTAATATTTTCACAAACCCCGGTGACATCTAGACATTTGATAATCCAACAATGTGGCAGTGAGTCAAATGCTTTATTATTATTATTATTATTATTATTATTATTAAACACAACAAGATAAGTCCATAGCAAACAAGGTCACCACTGGGACTACCTTGACTGGCTTGTTCTAATATTTTCACAAACCCCGATGACATCTAGACATTTGATGATCCAACAATGTGGAAGTGAGACAAATGCATTATTATTATTATTATTATTATTATTATTATTATTAACACAACAAGATAAGTCCAAAGCAAACAAGGACATCACTGGGACTACCTTGACTGGCTTGTTCTAATATTTTCACAAACCCCGATGACATCTAGACATTTGATGATCCAACAATGTGGAAGTGAGACAAATGCATTATTATTATTATTATTATTATTATTATTATTATTATTAACACAACAAGATAAGTCCAAAGCAAACAAGGACATCACTGGGACTATCTTGACTGGCTTGTTCTAATATTTTCACAAACCCCGGTGACATCTAGACATTTGATAATCCAACAATGTGGCAGTGAGTCAAATGCTTTATTTTTATTATTATTATTATTATTATTATTATTATTATTATTATTAGAAACACAACAAGATTAGGCCAGAGTCTTTGCAGTTCAATCTTTCGATCCTATTATTATTATTATTATTATTATTATTATTATTATTATTAACACAACAAGATAAGTCCAAAGCAAACAAGGTCACCACTGGGACCACCTTGACTGGCTTGACTGACAGATGATAATTTTGTCAGTGCTGATTGTGTTTAAGTGCAGGCCAAGGTCACTAGGCACTGCACCCAGTGTGCCGATTACCACTGGGACCACCTTGACTGGCTTGTTCTACTATTTTCACAAACCCCGATGACATCTAGACATTTGATAATCCAACAATGGGGCAGTGAGTCAAATGCTTCATTATTATTATTGTTATTGTTGTTATTATTGTTATTGTTATTAGCTGACAGATGGTAATTTTGTAAGCGCCAATTGTGTTTAAGTGCAAGCCAAGGTCATTAGGCACTGCACCCAGTGTGCCAATTACCACTGGGACCACCTTGACTGGCTTGTTCTAATATTTTCACAAACCCCGATGACATCTAGACATTTGATAATCCAACAATGTGGCAGTGAGTCAAATTCTTTATTATCATTATTAGCTGACAGATGGTAATTTTGTCAGTGCTGATTGTGTTTAAGTGCAGGCCAAGGTCATTAGGCACTGCACCCAGTGTGCCGATCACCACTGGGACCACCTTGACTGGCTTGTTCTAATATTTTCACAAACCCCGATGACGTCTAGACAGTTGATAATCCAACAATGTGGCAGTGAGTCAAATGCTTTATTGTTGTTGTTGTTGTTGTTGTTGTTGTTGTTGTTGTTATTATTTGAAACACAACAAGATGAGTCCACAGCAAACAAGGTCACTCTGCTGGCTGTTGTATTGGATCACCATTGGGTCCACTTTGGCTTGTTCTAATATTTTCACAAACCCTGATGACATCTAGACATTTGATAATCCAACAACAGGGCAGTGAGCCAAATGCTTTATTATTATTATTATTATTATTATTATTATTAGCTGAAAGATGGTAATTTTGTCAGTGCTGATTGGGTTTAAGTGCAGGCCAAGGTCATTAGGCACTGCACCCAGTGTGCCGATCACCACTGGGACCACTTTTACTGGCTTGTTCTAATATTTTCACAAACCCCGATGACATCTAGACATTTGATAATCCAACAATGTGGCAGTGAGTCAAATGCTTTATTATTATTATTATTAGAAACACAACAAGATGAGTCCACAGCAGACACTCTGCTGGCTGTTGAATTGGATCACACATCGGACACTTCCCAAGTGTCGAGGACTGTGTGATGTATCGGCGAATAATGCGTGCAGATCCCAGTAAGGTGGCCTTCTGGCAGATGGTAATTTTGTCAGCGCCAATTATGTTTCCAGGATATCCCCTTCTTAAAAAAAGCTGAGAAGAAAGGGCCAGGACTGATAACAAACAAAGGGATCTTGTAAGTAGTACAGTGGAACCTGAACTTTAGCGTATCTTGAGTTAAGGGCCTTCTCGGTGGTGGCCCCCTGACTCTGGAACTCACTTCCTAAGGATATTAGGCAAGTCCCACATTGGCAGTCTTTAGGAGGAGCCTGAAAACGTGTCTGTTCCAGTGTGCCTTCCCGGAATAAGGAAATAATTCCCAGCAAAATGTCCTCAGAAGCACTTTAACTACTCGTTGGATTGCTCTCACTTCATTTCTTTTAAAACCCTCCTACCAGATACCCAGCGTTTATTTTTTAAAATTTTTAAATATTACATTTGGCCCGGCCATAGGTTTTAAATCCTTGCGTGTTGTTGTTTATATGTGATTTATATTAGAACAGCACAACAGAGAGGAAACCAACAAGGACATCTAATCACCTCTCAACGAAAGATTGCTCCAGGCACTGCCAGGCAATCAAATGCTAATCAAGGTGGTCAGTTGAAACATTCACACCTAGCTCCAGCAGACAAGAGTTCTTTGTCCCACCCTAGTCATTCCACAGATAGATAAACCCTTTTTCCTACTTCCAACAGACCTCACTACCTCTGAGGATGCTTGCCATAGATGCAGGCGGAACGTCAGGAGAGAATGCCTCTAGAACATGGCCATATAGCCTGGAAAAAACCAAAACAACCCAGTGATTCCGGCCATGAAAGCCTTCGACAATACATATTCACACCTAGCTCCAGCAGACAAGAGTCCTTTGTCCCACCCTGGTCATTCCAACAGACCTCACTACCTCTGAGGATGCTTGCCATAGATGCAGGCGGAACGTCAGGAGAGAATGCCTCTAGAACATGGCCATATAGCCCGAAAAAACCTACAACAACCCATTAATTGTATTGTTTTTTGTTTATCGTTTTTCTGATGTGTTGTCGAGCTTGGCCTCATGTAAGCCGCTCTGAGTCCCTTGGGGAGATGGTGGCGAGGTATAAATAAAATATTATTATTATTATTATTATTATTATTATTAAGAGCTGTTGCTTGTCCCGGGTTTCACTTTGACATATGAGTAGCATTTGTAGGACTTCGAGGGAGCAGCCTCTGGGCCTCATGCCTCAGTCTCTTGTCTACTTTGAGGAACTCTGGGTTTGTTGATTTTGTGTAGGTTTTATTGCCGATTTATTTAGCTTCATGAAGAGAGAGAGAGAGAGAGCATGAGGCTGAAATAAGGACAGGATGAAGAAGAAAAGGATGCTCCTGCCTCTTCACTTTGTGCTTCCTTGGATCTGGACCAAACTTGGCACGGATACTCAATATGCCCAAATGTGAACACTGGTAGAGTTTGGAGAAAAAAGGCCTTGCCATTTGGGAGTTGTAATTGTTGGGATTTATAGTTCACCCACAATCAAAGAGCATTCTGAACCCCACCAATGATAGAATTGGACCAAACTTTCCACACAGAACCCCCATGACCAACAGAAAATACTATGTTTTCTGATGGTCTTTGGCAACCCCTCTGACACCCCCTCGCGACCCCCATGGGGGTCCCGACCCCCAGGTTGAGAAACACTGCTGTATACGAATCCACGCAATCCCTTCGATCATCCGGGAAGGCCCTGCTCTCGATCCCACCAGCATCGCAGGCGCGATTGGTGGGGATGAGAGATGCGCAAATGTGAACACTGGTGGAGCCTGGGGAAAATAGACCTTGACTTTTGGGAGTTGTAGTTGCTGGGATTTATAGTTCATTACAATCAAAGAACAATCTGAACTCCAACATCGATAAAATTGGCTCAAACTTCCTATATGGAATCCCCATGACCATCAGAAAATACTGTGTTTTCTGATGGTCTTTGGCGACCCCTCTGACACCCCTTCGTGACCCCCTCAGGGGTCCCGACCCCCAGGTTGAGAAACACTGCTATAGCTTTAAGAAACTCTTGATGGTAGTCCCGCCCATCAAGACCTATATGTACAATTTTCACAGATGACCTCCCAAAGAAATATGGTACTGGTAAGCAACCATTGTGGGGTGCACACTTCTTCCTTGGCTTTCCTCACCTGTATGTGTGGTGGTGGTCTTGCTTTGTGGATCTGCCTAAGTTGTAGACCCGAAAACCTGGGTTTGGAGGGCTTTCTGGTTTCTTCTTTGCTCATCTCTTACAAGCACCCGCCCTTTGCAACCTGGTCTGTCAAAACAATATGCTCTTTTGTGACTCCTTACTTCCCTTTCTTTTCACACCAGGATGCCTTGTTCTTCCTCAAGGACTTCTTCACCAGTGTGGCCGCCAGCATTAACCCGGTGGTGCCCATTGAAGCGGCTGCAGAAGGTGAGTCGCCGGCCGAGAGGTGTTTCTGAGCCACTGCCCTTAGGTACAGTTCTCTAGAGTCAACTTGCATCTCATGTGAACGTCAGCCATGTTGGATAGGGCCAATGGGGGAAGTAGTAGTAATAATAATAATAATAATAATAATAATAATAATAATAATAATATACAGTGCAAGTGTTGGAGTTCAGCCTGGGATCAGGATGCTTTGGATGTGGGAAGCGATGCCAATAAATTTCAAGATGGCGATGGTTTGGTCAATGATACTGATGTAGAGAAGGACCAGGAGACCCTTGTGCAAAGTGTAGTTTCCTATGAGAATGTCCCTGAAGGGAGCGCAACAGATAGTATACTCCCTGAATTGCTACCAGAGGGTTCCCGGGATTTGGAGCTTGAAAACAACTCAGCACCTGGCTCAGCTGCGAGACTTAATGAGCAAATAGATAGGCGAGAGGAAATTAGTCAAAACAGAGAGGCCGAACAGTGCCTTCGGTGCTCTGCCAGGCTTCGACAGAAAAGGATAAGGGATCTGAAGTCAAACAAAACCAATTCCTGAGTGTGTGGAATAGTTTAACGAGGGGAGGGGCATTCCATAGCTGAGGGGCCACCACTGAGAAGGCCCTGTCTCTTGTCCCCACCAAACGTGTTTGTGACGCAGGCGGGATCGAGAGCAGGGCCTCCCCGGACGATCTTAAAGTCCTAGCAGGTTCATAAGGAAAGATGCGTTCAGACAGGTAAGTTGGGCCAAAACCGTTTCGGGCTTTATAGGCTGAAGCAAGCACTTTGCATTGTGCCCGGTAGCAGACTGACAGCCAGTGGAGCTGGCACAGCAGAGGTGTTGTATGCTCCCTGAGCGTCCAAAGGCTGCCGTTCGTTGGACCAATTGAAGCTTCCGGGCAGTCTTCAAACGCAACCCCACGTAGAGCGCGTTGCAGTAGTCTATACAGGATATAACCAGAGTGTAGCCAAGTCAGACTTCCCAAGGTACATAAAACTTGGTGCATAAAACTTGGTGTTAGCCCGACGTTGCCTCAACTGAAGCAATCGTCTCTCACACATCATTATAAACTCTTCCCTGACTCCGAAACTGCTAGGAATTGATTCTTTCTTAGTTTCGGTTTACTATGTATCTTCTATTGAATCCAAGCTTAGTGTCTTAATTGTTGCCCAGACTACCTCTGTTTATTAAAAGGTCTCCTGCTCAAGGTCTCAATAAGTCCTTCACCTAGTAATATAATAATAATAATAAACTTTATTTATACCCCGCCACCATCTCCCCAGTGGGGACTCGGAGCGGCTTACATGAGGCCAAGCCCAAACAACAAAATACAATGAAATACGACCGAAAAAGCAAACCGAAAATGCAAACAAAGCACAACATCATAATTACACAAAACATGTGAATAAATAACGATATAAAATTACAATAACATATTCACAATGACAGTGGGAGGGCTACATGTAATGATTAAAAGAAAGACACATTAAAATTGGTTAAAAACTCGGGCAAGATAAAAGAGAAATGAGTTGTTTGCGGAGGAGGACTCATTATAGCGGGGATTGTGGGATCAAACTTTCCCACAGGGGAGAGGTGGGATGTGTACTCCAATGACAGAAACGTTGAGGCTAAACAATAGTGCAGGATTGAATGCCTATTCGCAGTTCGCAAAAGGCGCAGCGGAAGAGCCAGGTTTTGAGGTTCTTTTTTAGGTTTCTAGTAGGGCTGTCCAAACACGGAAAAATTTGTTTCTAAACTCGATTCGTTTTTAGGGGGTTTTTTGCGTTTCGTTATTTAAAAGAATTCCGAAATTTTCCTTTAAAAAAGTTCGACATTTACGAAATTTCGGAAATCATAAAACAATTACGGAATGATTACGAATCGATTACGAATCGATTCGTTAATGGCGGCCGCGATCGCGCAATACGCTAAAAAAACTTCTGAAGCTTCCCTCTCCCTCTGTTGTTGACTGTTGGTGTGATAATTATATTTTTTTTCACTGAGAAAACAAACAGCAACCCTAAAACTTGCACCAGACATGCGGAAATAATAACGAATCAATAACGGAACAATTCCGAATCAATTACGAAACAATTACGAAACGAATTGGAAAAATTCGTTTCGTTTTTTAGTTGCTCCTGGATGGTTCAATATCGCTTCGTTATAAAAAAAAATAACAAATTTTTAACGAATTACAAAATTACGAAAAGAAACCGCCCAGCCCTAGTTTCTAGGGTAGGGGCTTTCCTAATTTCTCCCGGTAATGAGTTCCAGAGTACATCCAATTCACCTTCATTCTCAGATAACTGACCAGGGAACAGCGGCGAAAGGTCTTTCCCAAGTCCAGGATCTTGTGTTCTTTATCACAGTGGAGCTGAACACTATGCATTCCTGTCTAATTTTCTACCTGCCATTTCCTTCCCCTTGATAGGCCGTGCGGAGTCCCCTGGGAAGGAGCCCGAGGGCGCCGAGAGCGAGATGATGGCTTCAATGGAGACCACCGCCAGCGAAAACAGCTCCTTGTCCAATGCCTCCTCATCCTCATCTGACCAACCCATTTACTTCCGGTAGGAATAGCCCCGTTGGAAGGTTAAGTGGGTGTCGCAGCTCAGGATAGATTCAGCTTGCTCAGAACACCACCACACTCCAAGGCTATAGTTTTTGTAGTTTATTGTAGACCTGAGCGGGGAGCATGGCGATCGGTGCTTCCAGGGACCCCGCCTCTTGCTGACTCAATGTCGGCGCCGCGGTCGGAGAGGCCAGGGGTGGTGACGATGCCGGTCTCGCATCCTGCATGGGGCCCGGGTGCCGCGCATGCACGGGAAGGGCTAGCGCCTCATCCCGGCGCGGCAGCTTGCGTGGGTAGCGCTCTCTCCGTCTGATGCCGGGGAGAAGGCTGAGCCGAGGCTGGGAGAGTGGCGGTCGATGGTCTTCCTGCCTTTTTTGAGGAGTTCTTCTCCTGGCACCCAGCAGAACGGCCATCTTGCTCCCTTAGCTTCTTGGCCTTCTTTTTAGCCGGCCCACCGGCCTGCACAGGCCTCTCACCAGGTAAGTTATCGGGAGCCCTGGGAGTTTTGGTAGAGATCGTGGGTAACAAGGCCCTCTCATAAAGCGCCGCTTTCAGGCGCGTCTCCCTGTTCTTCCTCGTCTGTGGGGTGAAGGCCGCATATATGCCACAAGCCTGAGAGAGGTGGCCCTCCCCCAGGCATGCCAGGCACAGATCGTGGCCGTCAGTGTCCGGCAACACGTTCGGGCACTTGGAACATTTCTTAAAAGGGGATGTAGCCATGACAAGCGCTACAAGTCACCGCGGGAGCGATCAATGGGATGGTCAGTGTCCAGTCTGTGGTCAAGGGGCAATCAAAGGGATGGTCAGAGTCCAGTCCGTGGTCAGGGGGCAACTGATTACCTAGAGCAGTGCAAGTCAGTCCAAAGTCATATTCAGAGGTAGTCCAACGATCTAACAAGTGTAGAGGTTCTCTAGCTGATGCCTACCACTTGGCGGAAAAAGAGAACTAGTGGCTGGCTCCGCCCAGGGGTCTTATATACCCGAGGTGGGGGAGGGCGGGGCCAGGAGGGAGTAGATTGCTTTTTGATTTCTAGAAGGTTCCAAAGTTGGGCCTGCGCAGGCGCAGGGATACCATAATGTGTGAATTCACAGGTGACTACCCAGGAAAGTATGGTTACAGGTAAGCAACCCATATTTCACCTTGCTCAGAACACCACCACACTCCAAGGCTGTCATTTTTGTAGTTTATTGAAGAAAAAGCAGAATCATAAACATAGAAATAAGGTTGCAAAAGTTCAATAGCCAAAACAGAGTCTTAAATGCAAAGGCAGAGTTTCCAAGAGGCAAATAACATGAAGTATAATCCACGAGCATGGGTCAAACCAGAATCCATGGCAGCATGACACATCCCCAGAAGCCAAAATCAAAACCAAAGAGTCAAAAGCCGAGGCAATTTCAGAGAAGTTAACAGGGTGTAAGCAAAGTTGCACTGACAAAAGATTTGTCAGAGTGCGACAGAAGCTTAGAAGAATGGACACTTTGAGACTTCAGTAAAAGCAAATGTATACCTTTACTGAGTAGAGCAAATATACAGAGAAAGAGGGAGGGAGGAAAGATGGAAGGAAGGAAGGGAGGAAGGGGAGGATGGAAGGAGAAAGAGAGAGAGGGAAGGAAGGGAAGACAAAGGGGAAGGGAGGGAGGAAGAGAAAGGAAAGGGAGAAGGAAGGAGAAAGAGGGAGAGAAGGAAGGAAGATCGAAAGGGTGGAAGGGAAGAAAGGAGAAAGAGAGAGGGAAGGAGGAAGAAAAAACAGAACAGGAGGGAAGGAGGAAGGAAGGATGGAAGGAGAAAGAGGGAAGGAGGGAGGAAAGAGGGAAAGAAGGAAAGATCAAAAGGAAAGAAGGAAGCAAGGAAAGAAGAGAAGGATAAAGGAAAGAGAGGGAAGGAAGGAGAAAGGGAAGAAAGAAATGAAGGAGAGAAAGGGAGGGAGAGAAGACAAAAGGGGAGGAAGGAGAAGGAGAGAAGGAAGAATGAAAGGTTGGAAGGGAAGGAAGGAAGGATGGAGAAAGAGGGAAGGAGGGAGGAAAGAGGGAAAGAAGGAAAGATCAAAAGGAAAGAAGGAAGCGAGGAAAGAAGGATAAAGGAAAGAGAGGGAAAGAAGGAGAAAGGGAAGAAAGAAACGATGGAGAGAAAGGGAGGGAGAGAAGACAAAAGGGAAGGAATGGAGGAAGGAGAAGGAGAGAAGGAAGAATGAAAGGTTGGAAGGGAAGGAAGGAAGGATGGAGAAAGAGGGAGGGAGGAAAGAGAAAGGATGAAAAGGAGGAAGGTAAGGATAGAAGGAGAAAGAGAGTTTTGACACCCAACCAAAAAGAACAGAAACAAGACAAAAGCACCGAAGTAAGAAGGACAAACAAAATCTTATCTCTGGATCCTCCCTATGCGTTCCAGGCACACTCAGGGTCACAACGTCACAGTTCATTAGAGGCTTGACTGATTAACCCTTTTCAGAGTCAATACACTCTCTGCTAATGCAATCAGGTTACATTTACAGGCATTACACAAAATTACATTTAAACATTCACATTATACTAATCTTACATTAACAGGATTGATTCCAATCCGAACATTAAATATGTTTTCCTAGCATGAAAGCATTACGTTGACCTTGAACTTCCCGTTTGTTGGCAAGCCGAGCACTTTGGCGTACCCTTAATTGCAAACGGTCCTCCCTAATCAAATCTCCATCACCTTCAAGGCCGGATCACTCATTATCCTGGGACTGGTCACCCTGGGAACTGAGAGGCATATCCGGAATGGTCCAAATGAATCCAAAGGCCCTCTCACTTACCCTCCATAGCAATTGTAACTCGGAAATGTCACCTGTAAGTTGGATTTGCCATTTGACAGATGAGCTTTGGAGTCCTCAAGTAGCGTCATGGCCAAGAGTTGACACTTATCCATTGGAATTTGAAGATACTTCTTGACTTCGTCGTTCAGGACGGGAAAGAGATCTGAACGGACTGAAAAGATGAATTTTCCTCTCTTGTTTAACCGTCTTATGTTGCTCTTGGAGGGGAGTTGGGTCGTAATTTTGATTTCCGTCTTTCTCTGCTGCAGGGAGTTCCGGTTCACCTCCGAAGTACCCATCTGGCTTGACTACCACGGCAAACACGTGACCGTGGACCAAGTGGTAAGCAGCCATATTGCTTTAAGCCAATGTTTCTCAACCTTCGGGGTCATGAGGGGGATGTTAGAGGGGGTCACCAAAGACCACATGGACCATCTAGTCCAACACCCTGCCATGCAGGAAAAGCACAATCAAAGCAGCCCTGGCAGATGGCCATTTATTATTTTACTCTATTATTGCATTTATTATTTTGCTCTATTATTATTACATTTATTTTTTCTATTATTATTACATTTATTTTTTCTATTATTATTACATTTATTATTTTACTCTATTTTTATTATTATTACATTTGTTATTTTACTCTATTTTATTATTATATTTATTATATGATTAGTATTATTACATTTATATTTTACTCTATTTTTATTATTACATTTATTAATTTACTCTATTTTATTATTATATTATTGTTACATTTATATTTTACTCTATTTTTATTATTATTACATTTGTTATTTTACTCTATTTTATTATTACATTTGTTATATTATTATTATTATTACATTTATATTTTACTCTATTTTTATTATTGCATTTATTAATTTACTCTATTTTATTATTATATTTATTATTATTATTACATTTATTATTTTACTCTATTTTATTATTATATTTATTATTATTATTATATTATTATTACATTTATATTTTACTCTATTTTTATTATTATATTTTTTATTATCCATCTGTCATTCTCATATATATATATATATTTCATTTGTGGGAGTATTTATTTATTTATTTATTTACTTCTTTTGTATACCGCAAATATCAGCCTGCAAAGGTGACTCGAAGCGGTTTACAATAAAATGTGCAACACTAAACAATCCATATGACAGACATACACAAACAATACACATAAAAATCATCACGCCTAGTTAGAACCAGATCTCAATCTCACAGTCGTATTACCATTCCTTGTTCAATGTGCCGTCATTCCTGAGTCAGTTGTTATTGCATACTTATCCGAACGCCTGTTCGAAGAGCCACGTCTTAACCCTTCTCCTAAACGCCAATAGCGAAGGGGCCTGCCTGATGTCCGCTGGTAGGGCATTCCATAGTCGGGGGGCCACCACTGAGAAGGCCCTATCCCTCGTTCCCGCCAGCCGCACCTGTGACGCTGGCGGGACCGAGAGCAGGGCCTCCCCAGACGATCTTAACAACCTCGCCGGTTCATAGGTGGAGATGCGTTCGGAGAGGTAAGTGGGGCCGGAACCGTGTAGGGCTTTATAGGCTAAAGCCAGCACCTTGAATTGTGCCCGGTAGCAAATTGGCAGCCAGTGGAGCTGGCTCAACAGAGGAGTGGTGTGCTCCCTGAGTGCCGCTCCCGTTAGCAACCTGGCTGCCGAACGCTGGACCATCTGAAGCTTCCGGGCAGTCTTCAAGGGCAACCCCACGTAGAGCGCGTTGCAGTAATCTATGCGGGATGTGACAAGAGCGTGGACTACCGTGGCCAAGTCCGACTTCCCAAGATACGGGCGCAGCTGGCGCACGAGCCGAAGCTGTGCAAATGCTCCTCTGGAAACCGCTGAAACTTGGGGTTCCAAGCTTAGCGAAGAATCCAGAGTCACACCCAAGCTGCGAACCTGCGTCTTCAGGGGGAGTGCGACCCCGTCCAACACAGGCTGTAACCCTATACCCTGTTCGGCCTTTCGACTGACCAGGAGTACCTCTGTCTTGTCTGGATTAAGTTTCAATTTGTTCACCCTCATCCAGTCCGACACAGCGGCCAAGCACCGGTTCAGGACCTGGACAGCCTCCTTAGTAGTAGGTGGAAAGGAGTGACAGAGTTGGACGTCATCTGCGTACAGATAACACCGCACCCCGAAACTCCGGATGATCTCTCCCAACGGCTTCATGTAGATGTTAAACAACATGGGGGACAGTATTGAACCCTGCGGGACCCCACAAGTCAATGGTTGTGAGGACGAGCAGTTGTCCCCCAGTAACACCTTCTGGGTACGATCCTCTAGGAAGGACCTGAGCCACTGCAAAGCAGCGCCCCCCAGGCCCATTCCCACGAGGCGTCCCAGAAGGATACCGTGGTCGACGGTATCGAAGGCCGCTGAGAGGTCCAGCAGAACCAACAGGGACACACTCCCCCTGTCAAGCTCACGCCGGAGATCATCGACTAAGGCGACCAAGGCTGTCTCACAACTCAAAAACCACTGGACGAATTGACACTGAATTTGGACACTACACCACTGTATTTTATATTTTGCCTTGACTGCCTCCTATTATTTCTTAATATTTCTTTTGCTGCCGCCAATTTGTTCAAAATGTTGTTTATTTTGAACAGGTAATATGCGTAATGGTTTCAAATACTTATCAGGCTTTATAGAGGATGGTACTTATATCTTAAGTTGCTTAAAACAAAGTTGCTTAAAACAAATCCAAACAGGATCTTTAAACCTTCTAAAATCTCCTTTCCTCCCACAGCACTCTAGACACTGTAGAGGCCTATTAACTATTATCTTTAAAGAGATGTCTTTAAACCACAAAAGAGTTCCCAAACTCTTCTTTCTTTCCCCCCTTCAGAGAAAACCTTTCAAAATCTCCTTTCCTTCCGCAGCACTCTAGACACTATAGAGGCCTACTATTATTCTCAAAGAGATATCTTTAAACCACAAAAGAGTTCCCAAACTCTTCTTTCTTTCCCCCCTTCAGAGAAAACCTTTCAAAATCTCCTTTCCTTCCGCAGCACTCTAGACACTATAGAGGCCTATTAACTATTATCCTCAAAGAGATATCTTTAAACTGCAAAAGAGTTCCCAAACTTTTCTTCTTCCCCCCCCCCCCCGTCAGAAAAAAACTTTCAAAATCTCCTTTCCTTCCGCAGCACTCTAGACACTATAGAGGCCTATTAACTATTATCCTCAAAGAGACGTCTTTAAACCACAAAACAGTTCCCAAACTCTTCCTTCCTTCCCCCCTTCAGACTAGCTCCTTCTTCCCCACCAAACTCTTAATTCTTTTCTGGGCCGTATGGCCATGTTCCAGGAGCATTCTCTCCTGATGTTTCACCTGCATCTGTGGCAGGCATCCTCAGAGGTTGCGAGACGTAGAGTGCATTGCAGTAGTCCAGTTGAGAGGTAACTAAGGCCATTTTCCTTCTCCTGTCCCCAGGGCACCTTTGCGGGCATCTTGATCGGCCTGGCGCAGCTCAACTGCTCCGAGCTCAAACTGAAAAGGCTCTGCTGCCGGCACGGGTAAGGGGCCCTGACTCGGAAACATGGGTCTCGGAGTCGGAGCCGGAGCTTGATCTTTAGGCCGGACACCTGACGGTTGTGGGCGCTGCTGCTTGTGTTTTTCAAGGCTCCTGGGGGTGGAGAAGGTGGTGAGCTACGCCTTGACCGAGTGGCTGACGGACATCCGCAAGAACCAGCTCCCGGGCATCTTGGGCGGCGTGGGGCCCATGCATTCGGTGGTGCAGCTCTGTAAGTACCAGGTGGGAGGGCGAAATAGCCGCAGGCCGCTCCAGAAACCAAAATAATAAAGGGAATAATAATTACTAGAGTAAAATAATAGATGTAACAATCACAATAAAAATAAGGAAAAATAATAAATGGAATAATAAATGGAATAATAATAATAATAATAATAATAATAATAATAATAATAATTAGAGTAAAATAATAAATGTAATCATGATAAACAATAGATGAAATAATAGAGTAAAATAATAATTGGAATAATAATTACTAGAGTAAAATAATAAATGGGATAATAATCACTAGAGTAAAATAATAGATGTAATAATAACAATAATAATGAAGAAAAATAATAAATGGAATAATAATCGTAAAATAGAGTAAAATAATAAATGTAATCATGATAGAGTAAACAATAGATGTAATAATAATAGAGTAAAATGATAAATGGAATAATAATTACTAGAGTAAAATAATAGATGTAATAATCACAATAAAAATGAAAAATAATAAATGGAATAATAATAATAATAATAATAATAATAATAAATAGAGTAAAATAATAAATGTAATCATGATAGAGTAAACAATAGATGAAATAATAATAGAGTAAAATGATAAATGGAATAATAATTACTAGAGTAAAATAATACAAGTAATAAGAACAATAAAAATAAAGAAAAATAATAAATGGAATAATAATAATAATAATAATAATAATAAATAGAGTAAAATAATAAATGTAATCATGATAGAGTAAACAATAGATGAAATAATAATAGAGTAAAATGATAAATGGAATAATAATTACTAGAGTAAAATAATAGATGTAATAATCACAATAAAAATAAAGAAAAATAATAAATGGAATAATAATAATAATAATAATAATAATAAATAGAGTAAAATAATAAATGTAATCATGATAGAGTAAACAATAGATGAAATAATAATAGAGTAAAATGATAAATGGAATAATAATTACTAGAGTAAAATAATACAAGTAATAAGAACAATAATAATGAAGAAAAATAATAAATGGAATAATAATAATAAATAGAGTAAAATAATAAATGTAATCATGATAGAGTAAAACAATAGATGAAATAATAAGAGTAAAATAATGGAATAATAATTACTAAAATAATAAATGTAATCATAATAGAATAAAACAATAAATGAAATAATAATAATAATAATAGAGTAAAATAATAAATGGAATAATAACTACTAGAGTAAAATTATAACTGTAATCATGGTAGAGTAAAACAATAAGTGAAATAATAATAATAATAGAGTAAAATAATAAATGTAATAATGATAATAACAATAATAAATAGAGTAAAATAATAAACAAGAGTAAAAATAATAAATAGAGTAAAATAATAAATAAATAAATAAATAAATAAATAATAGAATAATAATTACTAGAGTAAAATAATTGCGCCACTGGGAGCAATGTTTGACCATCCTTGTGGGAGGCTTCTCTCGTATCCCAGCATGGGGAGCTGGAGCTGACAGAGGGAGCTCACCCACGCTCTTCCTGTCGGTCTTCAGTCTTGCCAGCGCACAATGGTTTAACCCATTGCGCCACCGGGAGCACCGTCCCATAGTTTGTGTGGATGCCGTTGAGCCGGTCTATGAGCTGGTTCATTTCCTCCTCTCCGCGGTTCCCGGTCTCACCCTCTGCTTTCCTCCTTCCAGTCCACGGCCTCCGGGATCTCTTCTGGCTTCCCATTGAACAGTATCGCAAAGACGGACGGATCATCCGCGGGCTGCAGAGGGGCGCGGCCTCTTTCGGCACCTCGACGGCCTCAGCCGCGCTCGAGCTCAGCAACCGCCTGGTGCAAGCCATCCAGGTCTGGGCTGCATGCGTGTCCTTCTCGCGTGTTATTACGGGATCGGGACACTCGCCCTTCGGAATCGTCACGCCTTCCTCTCTCCCTACAGGCCACGGCGGAGACGGTCTACGACATCCTCTCGCCCACGGCTCCTCCCATGAACCGGACCCTCCTGGACAAGAAGCACAGCCGCAAACTCCGGCGGGGCCACCAACCTGCAGACCTGCGCGAAGGCGTGGCCAAGGCCTACGACACCGTGCGGGAGGTACGGACACGGTTCTAGCTTTGAACTGCTATTTTCCCATAACAACAAAAACATTTATTACGTTCCATACGCCCATCAGTAATGCCAACAGTCACAATGCTCTCTGGCTGTCGGTGAACTACAACTCCCCCAAAGCAAGGTGAATTTCCACCAAATATCTCCAGCATTTTTTGCTGGTCATGGGGGCCCTGTGTGCCACGTTTGGCCCAATAATATATTATTATTATTATTATTATTATTATTATTATTATTATTATTATTACATTTATATTTTTCCCTATTTTTATTATTACATTTGTTATTTTACTCTATTTTATTATTATATTTATATTATTATTATTACATTTATATTTTACTCTATTTTTATTATTATTACATTTATTATTTTACTCTATTTTTATTATTATTACATTTATTATTTTACTCTATTTTTATTATTATATTTATTATATTATTATTACATTTATATTTTACTCTTTTCTTATTATATTAATTATTATATTATTATTGTTACATTTATATTTTACTCTATTTTTATTATTACATTTATTATTTTACTCTATTTTTATTATTATTATTACATTTGTTATTTTACGCTTTTTCATTATTATATTTATTATTATATTATTATTGCCTTTATATTTGACTATTTTTATTATTACATTTATTATTTTACTTTTTTATTATTATTACATTTGTTATTTTACTCTTTTTATTATTATTATTGCATTTATTATTTTACTCTTTTTTATTATTATTATTACATTTATTATTTTACTCTATTATTGTTATTGCATTTATTATTTTACTCTTTTTATTATTATTATTACATTTATTATTTTACTCTATTATTGTTATTGCATTTATTATTTTACTCTTTTTATTATTATTATTATTATTACATTTATTATTTTACTCTTTATTATTATTGTTATTGCATTTATTATTTTACTCTTTTATTATTATTATTGCATTTATTATTTTACTCTTTTATTATTATTATTACATTTATTATTTTACTCTTTTTATTATTATTATTATTACATTTATTATTTTACTCTTTTTTATTATTATTATTATTGCGTTTATTATTTTACTCTTTTTTATTATTATTAGTACATTTATTATTTTACTCTTTATTATTATTATTATTGCGTTTATTATTTTACTCTTTATTATTATTATTATTACATTTATTATTTTACTCTTTTTTATTATTATTGCATTTATTATTTTACTCTTTTTATTATTATTATTATTATTACATTTGCTATTTTACTCTATTTTTATTATATTTATTATTATATTATTACGTTTATATTTTACTCTATTTTTATTATTACATTTATTATTTGACGCTATTATTGTTATTATTACAATCGTTATTTTACTCTATTTATTATTGTTATTATTGATAATTAATATTTTCGTTCCCGTCTTCCAGGGCGTGATCGACACGGCCCAGGCCATTTGCGACGTGGCTGCCCGTGGCCACGAGCAGAAGGGCATCACGGGCGCGGTGGGCGGCGTCCTGCGCCAGATCCCTCCCACGGTGGTCAAGCCACTTATCGTGGCCTCGGAGGCCACTTCCAACCTCTTGGGCGGGATGCGCAACCAGATCAAGCCCGACGCCCGGAAGGAGGAGTCGCTCAAGTGGCGCTCGGAAGAGACTCAGGAGTGACACGACCCACCGAACGTGGCATCTCGACTCTTGCGTGTGTGTGTGTGCATGGATGCGTGCGAGGCGTACGTGTGTTGCCGTCCGACCCCGGCCCTTCGCCCGTCTTTCATTTTTTGTATGTTTCCAAACTCTTTTGTCCAATCCCGTGCACGTCCTGGAAGGAGGACAACAAAGCAGTCGGACACCATTAAAAGGCCACGGCTTTGGTTCCCAGCCTCTCGTTTGAATGGATGGGCGCCGGCCACGGAAAGGATGCCGACCACGTTCAGGTAAACATAAAGGTGAGGATAAGGCACGTCGGAAGCGGATAGGCATCTATTGGATTGACATCCACACTCTAGGGGGGACCTGGAGGCGAGTCACACGCTCTCAGCCTTAGAAGAAGCCCGTGGCAAACCTCTCAAGGGCTCAAGGCATCCCCAACCACGGTTCGACTCCTGGACGCCACTCTCTCGGCCTCAGAGCCAGGCAAACGGAATAAATCCCCTTTGAAAAAAAAAAAACTCTATAAATTAGTATGTCGTCGAAGGCTTTCGTGGCCGGAATCACTGGGTTGCTGCGAGTTTTTTGGACTGTATGGCCGTGTCCTAGTAGCACTCTCTCCTGCCATTTCGCCTACATCCGTGGCCAAGAGCAAGGGGCACAACCAATGGGGAAATGGGTGGTGTCAAATACTTCTATGGGAGGAGCCAAAGGCAAAGGGGGTGTGGCTAATGGGGAGTGGTCAATGGGAGAAAGGGTGGTGCCAATATCCTATGGGAGGAGCCAAAGACAAAGGAGGTGTGGTCAAGAACAAGGGGTGTGGCTTAAGGGGAAATGGGTGGTATCAAATACTTCTATGGGAGGAGCCAAAGGCAAAGGGGGTGTGGCCAACAACAAGGGTGTGGCTTAAGGAGAAATGGGTGGTATCAAATACTTCTATGGGAGGAGCCAAAGGCAAAGGGGGTGTGGTCAAGAACAAGGGGTGTGGCTTAAGGGGAAATTGGTGGTATCAAATACTTCTATGGGAGGAGCCAAAGGCAAAGGGGGTGTGGTCAATAGCAAGGGGTGTGGCTTAAGGGGAAATGGGTGGTGTCAAATACTTCTATGGGAGGAGCCAAAGGCAAAGGGGGTGTGGTCAATAGCAAGGGGTGTGGCTTAAGGGGAAATGGGTGGTGTCAAATACTTCTATGGGAGGAGCCAAAGGCAAAGGGGGTGTGGCCAACAACAAGGGTGTGGCTTAAGGAGAAATGGGTGGTATCAAATACTTCTATGGGAGGAGCCAAAGGCAAAGGGAGTGTGGTCAATAGCAAGGGGTGTGGCTTAAGGGGAAATGGGTGGTATCAAATACTTCTATGGGAGGAGCCAAAGGCAAAGGGGGTGTGGTCAATAGCAAGGGGTGTGGCTTAAGGGGAAATTGGTGGTATCAAATACTTCTATGGGAGGAGCCAAAGGCAAAGGGGGTGTGGCCAATTGCAAGGGCGTGGTCAATGGGAAAAGGGCGGTGTCAAATATCCTATGGGAGGAGCCCATGGCAAAAGGGGAGTGGCCAATATCAAGGGGCATGGCTAATAAGAAAAGAGGTGGTGTCAGATATCCTATGGGAGGAGCCAAATGCAAAGGGGGTGTGGCCAAGAGCAAGGGGTGTGGCCAGTTGAGGAAAGGTATGGTGTAAAATATTTCCATGGGAGGAGCCAAAGGCAAAGGGGAGTGGCCAAGAACAAGGGGTGTGGGTAATGAGAAAAGAGGGGGTGTCGAATATCCTATGGCAGGAGCCAAAGGCAAAGGGGGTGTGGCCAAGAACAAAGGGGTGTGGCTTAAGGGGAAATGGGTAGTATCAAATTTTCCATGGGAGGAGCCAAAGGCAAAGGGGGTGTGGCCAATTGCAAGGGCATGGTCAATGAGGAAATGAGATGTCAAATATCCTATGGGAGGAGCCAGTGGAAAAGGGGGTGTGGCCAAGAACAAGGGGCGTGGTCAGTGAGGAAAGGGGCGGTGTTGAATATCCTATGGGAGGAGCCAAATGCATAGGGGGTCTGGCCAATGCAGGAATGGGTGGTGTCAAATACTTCTATGGGAGGAGCCAAAGGCAAAAGGAGTGCGGCCAATATCAAGGGGTGTGGCTAATGAGAAAAGAGGTGGTGCTAAATATGGGAGGAGCCAAAGGCAAAGGGGGTGTGGATAATGGGGAAAGGGGCGGTGTCAAATATCCTATGGGAGGAGCCAAAGGGGTTTGTGGCCAAAAACAAGGGGCGTGGACAAAAGGGCAGTGTCAAATATCCTATGGGAGGAGCCAAAGGAAAAAGGGGTGTGGCCAATAGCAAGGGGCATGGCCAATGAGGAAAGGGGCGGTGTCGAGTATCCTATGGGAGGAGCCAAAGGCAAGTGGGGTGTGGCCAAGAACAAGGGGTGTGGCCAGTGAGGAAAGGGGTGGTGTCAAATATCCTATGGGTGGACCCAAATGCAAAGGGGGTGTGGCCAAGAACAAGGGGCGTGGTCAGTGAGGAAAGGGGCGGTGTTGAATATCCTATGGGAGGAGCCAAATGCAAAGGGGGTGTGGCCAAGAGCAAGGGGCGTGGTCAGTGAGGAAAGGGGCGGTGTTGAATATCCTATGGGAGGAGCCAAATGCAAAGGGGGTGTGGCCAAGAACAAGGGGCGTGGCCAGTGAGGAAAGGGGCGGTGTTGAATATCCTATGGGAGGAGCCAAATGCAAAGGGGGTGTGGCCAAGAGCAAGGGGCGTGGTCAGTGAGGAAAGGGGCGGTGTTGAATATCCTATGGGAGGAGCCAAATGCAAAGGAGGTGTGGCCAAGAGCAAGGGGCGTGGTCAGTGAGGAAAGGGGCGGTGTTGAATATCCTATGGGAGGAGCCAAATGCAAAGGGGGTGTGGCCAAGAACAAGGGGCGTGGCCAGTGAGGAAAGGGGCGGTGTTGAATATCCTATGGGAGGAGCCAAATGCAAAGGGGGTGTGGCCAAGAACAAGGGGCGTGGCCAGTGAGGAAAGGGGCGGTGTTGAATATCCTATGGGAGGAGCCAAATGCAAAGGGGGTGTGGCCAAGAACAAGGGGTGTGGCCAGTGAGGAAAGGGGCGGTGTTGAATATCCTATGGGAGGAGCCAAATGCAAAGGGGGTGTGGCCAAGAACAAGGGGTGTGGCCAGTGAGGAAAGGGGCGGTGTTGAATATCCTATGGGAGGAGCCAAATGCAAAGGGGGTGTGGCCAAGAACAAGGGGTGTGGCCAGTGAGGAAAGGGGCGGTGTTGAATATCCTATGGGAGGAGCCAAATGCAAAGGGGGTGTGGCCAAGAACAAGGGGTGTGGCCAGTGAGGAAAGGGGCGGTGTTGAATATCCTATGGGAGGAGCCAAATGCAAAGGGGGTGTGGCCAAGAACAAGGGGTGTGGCCAGTGAGGAAAGGGGCGGTGTTGAATATCCTATGGGAGGAGCCAAATGCAAAGGGGGTGTGGCCAAGAACAAGGGGTGTGGCCAGTGAGGAAAGGGGCGGTGTTGAATATCCTATGGGAGGAGCCAAATGCAAAGGGGGTGTGGCCAAGAACAAGGGGCGTGGTCAGTGAGGAAAGGGGCGGTGTTGAATATCCTATGGGAGGAGCCAAATGCAAAGGGGGTGTGGCCAAGAACAAGGGGTGTGGCCAGTGAGGAAAGGGGCGGTGTTGAATATCCTATGGGAGGAGCCAAATGCAAAGGGGGTGTGGCCAAGAACAAGGGGTGTGGCCAGTGAGGAAAGGGGCGGTGTTGAATATCCTATGGGAGGAGCCAAATGCAAAGGGGGTGTGGCCAAGAACAAGGGGCGTGGCCAGTGAGGAAAGGGGCGGTGTTGAATATCCTATGGGAGGAGCCAAATGCAAAGGGGGTGTGGCCAAGAACAAGGGGTGTGGCCAGTGAGGAAAGGGGCGGTGTTGAATATCCTATGGGAGGAGCCAAATGCAAAGGGGGTGTGGCCAAGAACAAGGGGTGTGGCCAGTGAGGAAAGGGGCGGTGTTGAATATCCTATGGGAGGAGCCAAATGCAAAGGGGGTGTGGCCAAGAACAAGGGGTGTGGCCAATGAGGAAAGGGGCGGTGTTGAATATCCTATGGGAGGAGCCAAATGCAAAGGGGGTGTGGCCAAGAACAAGGGGTGTGGCCAGTGAGGAAAGGGGCGGTGTTGAATATCCTATGGGAGGAGCCAAATGCAAAGGGGGTGTGGCCAAGAACAAGGGGTGTGGTCAGTGAGGAAAGGGGCGGTGTTGAATATCCTATGGGAGGAGCCAAATGCAAAGGGGGTGTGGCCAAGAACAAGGGGTGTGGCCAGTGAGGAAAGGGGCGGTGTTGAATATCCTATGGGAGGAGCCAAATGCATAGGGGGTGTGGCCAAGAGCAAGGGGTATGGCAAATGGGTGGTGTCAAACTTCTATGGGAGGAGCCAAAGGCAAAGGGGGTGTGGCCAATAGCAAGGGGCAGGGCCTTTGGGGAAAGAGGGGCCAGACTACCTCTATGCAGATACCCTCCCTGACTAACTTTGCAGCTTTGTGGCTACTCAGTGCTATTCAAGCTTGCTCATTGTTAACATCCACACTTGCTTTACACAGGCAAGGATTCTTTCTCCCACCCTGGACATTCTTCCACAGATATGTATATACACATACACACACACTTTCCCAACGTGGTCAACTGTGAACCGCACATACGGTAATTCACTGCCAACAGAACCTGTGAAGATGTGGGCGAAATGTCAGGAGAGAATGCTGCGGGAATTCTATAAATTAGCATCACTATATTGTAATGGTTTGGGATTCTGGAAGCCTTGGGTCAGAGGTAATTTTCAACGGTAAACATATATATTTTCTGTTCGTCGTGGGAGTTCAGTGTGCCATATTGGGTTCAATTCCATCATTGGTGGAGTTCAGAATGCTCTTTGTAGGTGAACTATACATCCCAGTAACAAACTACCCCTGGGCAACTCTACCGCGAAGGCTTACTCTGCGTAAGGGTTGAGCCGCCCCTGGGTGCAAGTCTCGCTCTCTTGCAGGAAGTGGTGCCAAAGTGCATTATTTGAATGGTGTAGCTGCACTTTTGGACCTGTTTTTGTGACCGGCAGAGGGCCAGCTTGGGGACGCTCCACTCAACCCGAGCACCTCGTGAACCGTCTCAAAGGGAAGTCCTGGTTTCCGGAGACAGGAAATGAAAAACAAGCCAAGCCGAAAGAAGCGCAGCCCTTCCTGTCTTGGCCCGCTGGAGAGATTCAGAGGTGCCTTGGCTAGACTACTCCCTGAAACATAAGAAGTTGGATCCGTGATCCATTCCATTGCTGTTTCCAGTTGTCGATTAATCCTCTGCATTCCTACTTTCCCAAGCGTCCCGGTTTCCCTCTCCTCCTGCTTTCGTCCCCGGTTTAAGTTGGGGTTTCTTATCTCGGTGGCCTGAACTTCCTCCTTTTGGAGCCCTTCCTTTGGATTTTTTTTCCGCCCAAGGTTCAAATCCAACGGCCAAATATTGTCTCATGATGTGATTTAATTTGATTTCCTCCATAGGTTGGGTAAGGCTATATTTCCCTCACACTTCCATACTGGAGCCAGTGGAGTGTGTGTATGTGTACATAATATACATATGCATACATACATACATACATACATACATACATACATACATACATCCGTGTGGAATAATTTCCAGACCCTTGTCTGTTTCAAGCAAGTGTGGATGTTGCAATGAGCAGGCTTGAAATGCATTGAGTATCCATAGAGTTTGCAAAGTCAGTCAGTGAAGGTATCTCCATAAAGGTAGTGAAGCAAATGGAATGTATATATCCCTAGGGTGGGAGAAAGAACCTTTGTCTGTTTAAAGCAAGTGTGGATGTTGCAGTGAGCAAGCTTGAATAGTATTGAGTATCCATTGAGTTTGGAAAGTCAATCAGTGAGGGTATCTGCATAGAAGTAGTGAAGCATGTGGAGTTTATATATCTCTAGGGTGGGAGAAAGAACCCTTGTCTCAAGCAAGTGTGGGTGTTGCAATGAGCAAGCTTGAATTGCATTGAGTAGCCATGGAGTTTGTAAAGTCAATCAGTGAGGGCATCTGCATAGTAGTGAAGCAAGTAAAGTTAATATATCTCTAGGGTGGGAGAAAGAACCCTTGTCTGTTTCAAGCAAGTGTGGATGTTGCAATGAGCAACCTTGAATTGCATTGAGTAGCCAATATGGAGTTTGCAAAGTCAATCAGTGAGGGCATCTGCATAGAAGTAGCAAATGGAATGTGTGTGCATGGTCGTGTCTAGGGTGGAAGAAAGAACCCTTGTCTTTTTAAAGCAAGTGTGGATGTTGCAATGAGCAAGCTTGCATTGCATTGAGTATCCATAGAGTTTGGAAAGTCAATCAGTGAGGGTATCTGCATAGAGGTAGCAAGTGGAGTGTATAATATCCCTGTGGAATAAAGTCCAGGTTGGAAGAAAGAACCCTTGTCTGTGCGAAGCCAGTGGGAGTGTTGCAATGAGCAAGCTTCAATAGCCTTGAATATTCATGCGGTTTGCAAAGTCAATCAGTGAGGTTATCTACATAGAGGTAGCAAGTTGAGTGTGTATATATATGTGTGTGTCTTTGTGTGTGTAATCATGTCTAGGGTGGGAAAAAGAACCTTTGTCTGTTTAAAGCAAGGCTGGATGTTGCAATGAGCAAGCTTGAATAGTATTGAGTATCCATTGAGTTTGGGAAGTCAATCGGTGAGGGTATCGGTATAGAGGTAGTGAAGCAAGTGTTTATATATCTCTAGGGTGGGAGACAGAACCCTTGTCTCTGTGAAGCAAGTGTGGATGTTGCAAAGGGCAAGCTTGAATAGCATTCAGTAGCCATGAAGTTTCCAAAGTCAATCAGTGAGGGTATCTGCATAGAGATAGTGAAGTCAGTGGAGTGTATATTTCCCTGTGGAATAATGTCCAGGGTGGAAGAAAGGACCCTTGTCTGTGCAAAGCAAGTGTGGATGTTGCAATGAGCAAGCTTGAATAGGGTTGAGTAATCTTGGAGTTTGCAAAGTCAATCAGTGAGGGTGTCTGCATAGAGGTAGCAAGTGAAGTGTGTGTGTGCAATCATGTCTAGGATGGGAGAAAGAACCCTTGACTGGTTAAAGCAAGTGGGTGTTGCAGTTAGCAAGCTTGAATAGCATTGAGGCGCCATGAAGTTTCCAAAGTCAATCAGTGAGGGTATCTGCATAGAGATAGTGAAGTCAGTGGAGTGTATATTTCCCTGTGGAATAATATCCAGGGTGGAAGAAAGGACCCTTGTCTGTGCAAAGCAAGTGTGGATGTTGCAATGAGCAAGCTTGAATAGGGTTGAGTAATCTTGGAGTTTGCAAAGTCAATCAGTGAGGGTGTCTGCATAGAGGTAGCAAGTGAAGTGTGTGTGTGCAATCATGTCTAGGATGGGAGAAAGAACCCTTGACTGGTTAAAGCAAGTGGGTGTTGCAGTTAGCAAGCTTGAATAGCATTGAGTTTGCAAAGTCAATCAGTGAGGGTATCTGCATAGAAGTCGCACGTGGAGTGTATATATACCTGTGGAATAATGCCCAGCTTGGAAGAAAGAACCCTTCTCTGTGTGAAGCAAGTGTGGATGTTGCAATGAGCAAGCTTGAGTAGCAGTGAGTGACCATGGCTTTTTAAAGTCAATCAGTGAAAGTATCTGCATAGAGATAGTGAGGTCAGTGGAGTGTATATTTCCCTGTGGAATAATGTCCAAGGTGGGAGAAAGAACCCTTGTGTGTGAAGCAAGTGTGGATGTTGCAATGAGCAAGCTTGAATAGCATTGAGTGGCCATGAAGTTTGCAAACTCGCTTACGTACCATTATCCAATTTATTTATTTATGTATTTTCCTCCGTCGGTCGAGTAAGGCTATACTTCCCTCCCACTCCCGTTTCGTTGCCAAACTACGTCTCCCAACCATAAACAGTGTGTATTTATTACAAAGCAGTTTGCAAAAGGGATGGGGTGGGGTGGCAGTGGGAGAGAATAGCAATGAGCATCTGGTAGGAGGTTGTCATGCTTTTCCTGGAATTGGTTAATTCTCCCTCATGCTTCCTCTTTGTCCTGGAAAGAAGTGATGAGTGGAGTGATGAGTGGAGTGCCGTTCGCAGGGTTATGGGCCCGGTCCTGTTCAGGATCTTGGAAGAGACCTGCTGGGCCATCCAGTCCAACCCCATTCTGCCAAGAGCTACGGTTAGATGGATCTGGAATTGGTTAATTCTCCCTCATGCTCCCTCTTGGTCATGGAAAGAAGTGATGAGTGGAGTGATGAGTGGAGTGCCGTTCGCAGGGTTATGGGCCCGGTCCTGTTCAGGATCTTGGAAGAGACCTGCTGGGCCATCCAGTCCAACCCCATTCTGCCAAGAGCTACGGTTAGATGGATCTGGAATTGGTTAATTCTCCCTCATGCTTCCTCTTGGTCATGGAAAGAAGTGATGAGTGGAGTGCCATTCGCAGTGTTATGGGCCCGGTCCTGTTCAGGATCTTGGAAGAGACCTGGTTGGTGGGCCATCCTGTCCAACCCCATTCTGCCAAGAGCTACGGTTAGATGGATCTGGAATTGGTTAATTCTCCCTCATGCTTCCTCTTGGTCATGGAAAGAAGTGATGAGTGGAGTGATGAGTGGAGTGCCGTTCGCAGGGTTATGGGCCCGGTCCTGTTCAGGATCTTGGAAGAGACCTGCTGGGCCATCCAGTCCAACCCCATTCTGCCAAGAGCTACGGTTAGATGGATCTGGAATTGGTTAATTCTCCCTCATGCTTCCTCTTGGTCATGGAAAGAAGTGATGAGTGGAGTGCCATTCGCAGTGTTATGGGCCCGGTCCTGTTCAGGATCTTGGAAGAGACCTGGTTGGTGGGCCATCCTGTCCAACCCCATTCTGCCAAGAGCTACGGTTAGATGGATCTGGAATTGGTTAATTCTCCCTCATGCTTCCTCTTTGTCCTGGAAAGAAGTGATGAGTGGAGTGATGAGTGGAGTGCCGTTCGCAGGGTTATGGGCCCGGTCCTGTTCAGGATCTTGGAAGAGACCTGCTGGGCCATCCAGTCCAACCCCATTCTGCCAAGAGCTACGGTTAGATGGATCTGGAATTGGTTAATTCTCCCTCATGCTTCCTCTTGGTCATGGAAAGAAGTGATGAGTGGAGTGCCATTCGCAGTGTTATGGGCCCGGTCCTGTTCAGGATCTTGGAAGAGACCTGGTTGGTGGGCCATCCTGTCCAACCCCATTCTGCCAAGAGCTACGGTTAGATGGATCTGGAATTGGTTAATTCTCCCTCATGCTTCCTCTTGGTCATGGAAAGAAGTGATGAGTGGAGTGATGAGTGGAGTGCCGTTCGCAGGGTTATGGGCCCGGTCCTGTTCAGGATCTTGGAAGAGACCTGGTTGGTGGGCCATCCTGTCCAACCCCATTCTGCCAAGAGCTACGGTTAGATGGATCTGGAATTGGTTAATTCTCCCTCATGCTCCCTCTTGGTCATGGAAAGAAGTGATGAGTGGAGTGATGAGTGGAGTGCCGTTCGCAGGGTTATGGGCCCGGTCCTGTTCAGGATCTTAGAAGAGACCTGGTTGGTGGGCCATCCTGTCCAACCCCATTCTGCCAAGAGCTACGGTTAGATGGATCTGGAATTGGTTAATTCTCCCTCATGCTTCCTCTTGGTCATGGAAAGAAGTGATGAGTGGAGTGATGAGTGGAGTGCCGTTCGCAGGGTTATGGGCCCGGTCCTGTTCAGGATCTTGGAAGAGACCTGCTGGGCCATCCAGTCCAACCCCATTCTGCCAAGAGCTACGGTTAGATGGATCTGGAATTGGTTAATTCTCCCTCATGCTTCCTCTTGGTCATGGAAAGAAGTGATGAGTGGAGTGCCATTCGCAGTGTTATGGGCCCGGTCCTGTTCAGGATCTTGGAAGAGACCTGGTTGGTGGGCCATCCTGTCCAACCCCATTCTGCCAAGAGCTACGGTTAGATGGATCTGGAATTGGTTAATTCTCCCTCATGCTTCCTCTTGGTCATGGAAAGAAGTGATGAGTGGAGTGATGAGTGGAGTGCCGTTCGCAGGGTTATGGGCCCGGTCCTGTTCAGGATCTTGGAAGAGACCTGCTGGGCCATCCAGTCCAACCCCATTCTGCCAAGAGCTACGGTTAGATGGATCTGGAATTGGTTAATTCTCCCTCATGCTTCCTCTTGGTCATGGAAAGAAGTGATGAGTGGAGTGCCATTCGCAGTGTTATGGGCCCGGTCCTGTTCAGGATCTTGGAAGAGACCTGGTTGGTGGGCCATCCTGTCCAACCCCATTCTGCCAAGAGCTACGGTTAGATGGATCTGGAATTGGTTAATTCTCCCTCATGCTTCCTCTTTGTCCTGGAAAGAAGTGATGAGTGGAGTGATGAGTGGAGTGCCGTTCGCAGGGTTATGGGCCCGGTCCTGTTCAGGATCTTGGAAGAGACCTGCTGGGCCATCCAGTCCAACCCCATTCTGCCAAGAGCTACGGTTAGATGGATCTGGAATTGGTTAATTCTCCCTCATGCTTCCTCTTGGTCATGGAAAGAAGTGATGAGTGGAGTGATGAGTGGAGTGCCGTTCGCAGGGTTATGGGCCCGGTCCTGTTCAGGATCTTGGAAGAGACCTGGTTGGTGGGCCATCCTGTCCAACCCCATTCTGCCAAGAGCTACGGTTAGATGGATCTGGAATTGGTTAATTCTCCCTCATGCTTCCTCTTGGTCATGGAAAGAAGTGATGAGTGGAGTGATGAGTGGAGTGCCGTTCGCAGGGTTATGGGCCCGGTCCTGTTCAGGATCTTGGAAGAGACCTGGTTGGTGGGCCATCCTGTCCAACCCCATTCTGCCAAGAGCTACGGTTAGATGGATCTGGAATTGGTTAATTCTCCCTCATGCTCCCTCTTGGTCATGGAAAGAAGTGATGAGTGGAGTGATGAGTGGAGTGCCGTTCGCAGGGTTATGGGCCCGGTCCTGTTCAGGATCTTAGAAGAGACCTGGTTGGTGGGCCATCCTGTCCAACCCCATTCTGCCAAGAGCTACGGTTAGATGGATCTGGAATTGGTTAATTCTCCCTCATGCTTCCTCTTGGTCATGGAAAGAAGTGACGAGCGGAGTGATGAGTGGAGTGCCGTTCGCAGGGTTATGGGCCCGGTCCTGTTCAGGATCTTAGAAGAGACCTGGTTGGTGGGCCATCCTGTCCAACCCCATTCTGCCAAGAGCTACGGTTAGATGGATCTGGAATTGGTTAATTCTCCCTCATGCTTCCTCTTGGTCATGGAAAGAAGTGACGAGCGGAGTGATGAGTGGAGTGCCGTTCGCAGGGTTATGGGCCTGGTCCTGTTCAGGATCTTGGAAGATACCTAGTGATCCATCCAGTCCAACCCTATTCTGCCAAGAAGCAGGAAAATCTCATTCAAAGCACCCTCGACAGACGGCCATCCAGCCTCTGTTTCAAAGCCTCCACCACACTCCAGCGCAGAGAGTTCCACTGCTGAACAGCTCTCACAGGACGTTCTTCCTAGTGTTCAGGTGGAATCTCCTTTCTTGTAGTTTGAAGCCATTGTTCTATTGCGTCCTAGTCTCCAGGGAAGCAGAAAACAAGCCTTCTCCCTCCTCTCTGTTTTCTCCATCCATGTTTAACATTTCCCCAAATGACCAGCCAGTACCAGAAGGGACAGAGAGTTTCATCTACGCTGACGATCATGCCATCACCACCCAAGCAGGGAGCTTTGAAATGGTGGAACAGAAGCTCTCTGAAGCTTTAGGTGCTCTTATTGCCTATTAGAGGGGAAACCAGCCGATTCCTAATCCATCTACGCTGACGATAGTGCCATCACCACCCAAGCAGGGAGCTTTGAAATGGTCAAACAGAAGCTCTCTGAAGCTTTAGGTGCTCTTACTGCCTATTTCAGGGGAAACTAGCTCATTCCTAATCCATCTAAAACACAGACGTGTGCTTTTCATTTTGCTTTAGCGTTTCAATGAAGATCTCATGGAGTCTCAACCAATTCAACTTATTTTGTGGTAGCCACAAAAACAAAGTTTCGGGAGTAGAACGATGACTTTCAAAGTCTGGAATGCACCATTAGACAGGAAATAACACTTTCAAACCAGGAGCAGAATATTTCTTTTTCAAATTTTGTTACATACTGTAATCCCCTTGTATAATAAACCTCTGGAGGTTTTTAAGCAGATGGCCATCTGTTGGGAGGGTTTGGATTGTGTCTTCCTGGATGGAAAAAGCGGTTGGACTGGATGGCCAATTTTATAGGATTAGATGACCTGTATTGAAGGGCATTCGGTGTCCTCGCTTGACCAGTGGCACAGCTGGCGTCCCCCCAACCTTCAAAGGAAAACAGGTTGCCACCCCCAACAAACACCACAAAAATCAGAGACCGTTCGGAAGTCTCCGTAGATCTCTCCCATTCTTTTGCGGGTTTGTGAAACCACGGTTGACATAGCCGGGCGGAAGAACCGGCCGTTTCAGGGCTGCTCGGATGGTGACCTTTGCCCATCAGCAATCTTTTGCCGGGCGCTCCGCATGGTGCCGGTGAGGTTCCGCAGGCCAATGAGGTAGCCGTCCTCGTGGCTGCCGTGGGTCCAGGCCACGTCATGGCGGAGGCGGCCCTCGGCGGCGGGCAGCGTCTTCCCGAAATCGATCATCCAGACGCTGGCGTGGCCCTTCCGGTCGTGGAGGAACAGCAAGGAGCTGCCGATCACCTGCCCAAGGGAAACAAATATCGGTCTCACAACCACGTTACGTAAATAATAAAAGAATGTAACAATTAGAATTTTGTCAAAGGCTTCCATGGTTGCCTACTTGGGCAAAGTCATGGCAGTGGTGGCCTCGCCCCTCCAGGGGTTCTTGGCAGACACTGATAATCTAGATCCGGCACAATCTGGCACTGAAACATGGCACTGATCTGCCGAGTTGTCAGGGATCTTGCTCTGAGGTGGATTTAATAGTCCTTTGACAACTCGGAACAGCTCAGCCGGACGGTTCTTAGTGGACGCAATATTGGCTGCAAGGAATGTTTTTTGTGCAGCCTTTACTGCCGCGTCGTAGCTCCTTAAAAAGGAAACTAGACGTGCTTGGACTCACCCGCTATGCTTCCGTCACCACACACTCTCTAGCCACCTCTTCTTTCGCTTCATCGCTCCCAGCTCCTCAGTAAACCAAGGAGCTGGTTGAGCTTGGTTACTCGAGAGGGGGTGTTCTGGAGCAATTCTGTCTATAGCCCTGGTCATCTCCCTATCTCAGAGAGTGTCCAGGGCCTCGACAGGGTCACTTACCGAGGAGGCGGGAAAAATCCCCAAGAGCTCTCAGAAAACCATTTGGATCCATAAGTCTCCTGGGGCGGACCATTTTAATGGGTCCACCACCCCTGCGGAGGAAGGTAGGCGCAATAAGTCTAAACCTGACCAGGTGGTGGTCAGTCCATGGCAACGGAGCGATGGTCAGCTCCTCCACCCCACCACCTTCTTCCCATCCCTGACAGAAAACCAGATCCAGTGTGTGTCCAGCACTGTGGGTAGGACCCGATACTAATTGGGACAGGCCCATGGTTGCCATGGCGGCCATGAAGTCCTGAGCTGCTTCTGACAGAGTGGTCTCAGCATGAACATTGAAGTCCCCCAGCATAATGAGCTGTTGGGACTCCAACACCAGGCCTAAGACCACTCCGGCTAGCTCAGATAGGGAGACTGTAGTGCAGCGGGGTGGTCGGTACACCAACAGAATCCCTATCCTGTCCTGGTTACTGACTGTCAGGCCGACACACTCAAACATGGTAGACTGTGGAATGGGGCACCTGGTCAGGGGGATAGAATCCTTATAGACAATTGCGACTCCCCCTCCCCGCTCTCCAGATCTCACCTGATGCTGCATGGAGTATAAATAAAACCAGCATGAATTAACAACATTGACTTGACTGAGACACTAGTCTCCCATGAATTAAAAGTATACCAGGTCCATTAGTACATAGAAATCCATGAAGCCAGGAACTTGAAACCATTAAAGAAAACAGCGGGAACTCTCAGGCAAAAACTTGATGCATGAAACATAGAGCACTTGAAAGTGGAACCGGCATGAATTAACAACGTTGACTCAACTCAGATATTTACATTATGATTCATAACAGTAGCAAAATAACAGTTGTGATGTAGCACCAAAAATAATGTTATGGTTGGGAGGTCACCACAACATGAGAAGTGGCTTTGTGGGGCATTTGTCACACTCACTCACTTCATCGCTGCCAGCTCCTCAGTAAACCAAGGAGCTGGTTGAGCTTGGTTACTCAAGAGGGGGCGTTCTGGAGCAATCGTGTCTGTAGCTCTATCGCAGAGAGAGTCCAGGGCCTCAACAGGGTCACTTACCGAGGAGGCGGGAAAAATCACCAAGAGCTGTCAGAAAACCATTTGGATCCATAAGTCTCCTGGGGCGGACCATTTTAATGGGTCCACCACCCCTGCGGAGGAAGGTAGGTGCAATAAGTCTAAACCTGACCAGGTGGTGTTCGGTCCATGGCAATGGAGCGATGGTCAGCTCCTCCACTTCACCACCTTCTTCCCATCCCTGACAGAAAACCAGATCCAGTGTGTGTCCAGCACTGTGGGTGGGACCCGATACTAATTGGGACAGGCCCATGGTTGCCATGGTGGCCATGAAGTCCTGAGCCGCTTCTGACAGAGTGGTCTCAGCATGAACATTGAAGTCCCCCAGCATAAAGAGCCATTGGGACTCCAACACCAGGCCTGAGACCACTCCGGCTAGCTCAGGTAGGGAGACTGTAGTGCAGCGGGGTGGTCAGTACACTAACAGAATTCCTATCCTGTCCCGGTCACCGACTGTCAGGCCGACACACTCAAACGTGGTAGACTGTGGAATGGGGCACCTGGTCAGGGGGATGTAATCCTTATAGACAATTGCGACTCCCCCTCGCCACTCTCCAGATCTCGCCTGGTGCTGCATGGAGTAACCTGGTGGACAAAGCTGGGAGATATTAACCCCCCCCCCCCCCGCCTCATCCAACCTGCAAAATGCTCAATGCTATTCATGGCTGCTCATTGCAACATTCACACTTGCTTTAACAGACAAAGGTTCTTTCTCCCACCCTGGACATCATTCCACAGGGATATGTGCACTCCACTTGCCACATTCTCAACCGACTTCTGAACAAACCCCTGAGGATGCTTGCCACAGATGCAGGTGAAACGTTAGGAGAGAATGATACTGGAACATGGCCATACAGCCCTGAAAACTCACCATTGCCATCTGTCAGGAAGGCTTAGGTTGTGCCTTCCTGTCTGGCATTGTCTCTCACCTCATGGGTCTTGAAGAAGATGGACTCCTCCAGGGTTTTGCGCATGTCTTCCAGGCGGGACAAGTAAATGCTCTACAAAGGAAAAAGCATCAAAGGTTGGTGGGCACTGACCCAAAATAGCTGCCCTTTGCCCTAATAGACCCCAGATAAAATGGGAAGAATTCCCCCAGTGAACGAGCAAGAAAATGGGATGTTCAATAGCAGGAATGGAGGAATGTCCGAGTTCAAGGAACTCCTCCACTCCAATCAGGATTAAGGTCTCACCAGAATGTCCAGACGACACTTGGTGAACGTCAAGAAGACCTCCACAATTTCGTCCTCGGTCCGGGTCTGCTTAAAATCCCTTTGTACCGCTCCCCCCTCGATCTGGGGAAAAAGGGGGAAATTGGGGGGGGGGGACATAATTAAAATATATCGAAAGTTGTAGTCCAGAGCAAGACCACCTCTGGCTTGAAACACCACACCAGTTTGGTAAAATCAGCAAGCAGTTTATTGTAGTTTTGTAGAATAGAATATATGAAGGCAAAACAGTAAAAAATAGTAAAACAGTAAAAATCCAAAATCCAAGATAATCCATGAATTAAAAGTAAACCAGGTCCATTAGTACACAGAAATCCATGAAGCCAGGAATTTGAAAACATGAAGGAAAATAACAAGAACTCTCAGCCAAAAACTTGGCAACAATTTGATGCATGAAACATAGAGCACTTGAAAACAAAACCGGCATGAATTAACAACGTGGACTCGACTGAGACACTAATCTCCTGTGAATTAAAGGTATACCAAGTCSATTGGTACATAGAAATCCATGAAGCCAGGAACTTGAAACCATGAATGAAAACAGCAGGAACTCTCAGGCAAAAACTTGATGCATGAAACATAGAGCACTTGAYYGGTGAAACCGGCATGAATTAACAACGTTGACTCAACTGAGACACTAGTCTCCCATGAATTAAAAGTATGCCAAGTCCATTAGTACATAGAAATCCATGAAGCCAGGAATTTGAAAACATGAAGGAAAATAACAAGAACTCTCAGCCAAAAACTTAGACTTGGCAACAATTTGATGCATGAAACATAGAGCACTTGAAAGTGAAACCGGCATGAATTAACAACGTTGACTCGACTGAGACACTAATCTACCATAAATTAAAAGTATACCAAGTCCATTAGTACACAGGAATCCATGAAGCCAGGAACTTGAAACCATGAAAGAAAACAGCAGGACCGACTTGGCAACAACTTGATGCATGAAACATAGAGCACTTGAAAGTGAAACCAGCATGAATTAACAACGTTGACTCAACTTAGACACTAATCTCCCGTGAATTAAATGTATACCAAATCCATTAGTACATAGAAATCCATGAAGCCAGGAACCTGAAACCATGAAAGAAAACAGCAGAAACTCTCAGGCCAAAACTTGATGCATGAAACATAGAGCACTTGAAAGTGAAACCGGCAGGAATTAACAACGTTGACTCGACTGAGACACTAGTCTCCCGTGAATTAAAAGTATACCAAGTCCATTAGTACATAAAAATCCATGAAGCCAGGAACTTGAGATCATGAAGAAAACAGCAGGAACTCAGGCAACAACTTGATGCATGAAACATAGAGCACTTGGAAATGAAACCAGCATGAATTAACAACATTGACTCGACTGAGACACTAGTCTCCTGTGAATTAAAAGTATGCCAAGTCCATTAGTAAATAGAAATCCATGAAGCCAGGAACTTGAAACCATGAAAGAAAACAGCGGGAACTCTCAGGCAAAAACTTGATGCATGAAACATAGAGCACTTGAAAATGGAACCGGCATGAATTAACAACGTTGACTCAACTCAGATATTTATATTACGATTCATAACAGTAGCAAAATAACAGTTGTGATGTAGCACCAAAAATAATGTTATGGTTGGGAGGTCACCACAACATGAGAAGTGGCTTTGTGGGGCATTTGTCACACTCACCGTGACGCCCTCGATGCGGAAGCCGAGGGTGGCGCTGGAGCTGATCCCTTCTCGCCATTGCATGTACCGGGATTTGGTGACAGCTCCTTGGCTGCGTTCTTCGGGCGACGGCGCAAAGGGGTCGACCTTCACCATCTTCTGGTACAAGTCCCGACGCGGACGCTGCTGCCCTTTGCCGAGCTCCTCCTCCAGGTACGTCCTGAGCAAAAATAAATATTTTCATATCACAGCCTGTGACGTTGACAAACAATTGACAGTCCTTACGGCAAGAATACCCCAACGCCACGGCCCTGACCTTGTGCCCATTTTGCAGTCCATGATGCTGGGCATGTCGAGTCCGCTCAGCAGGTCGTCCATCTGGATGTAGCGCTCGCCGGCCACCTCCACCACCCCGTGGTAGGCCGGCACAAAGGGGTGCAGGACGTCGGTCATCAGTGCGGCCAGGCATGCGTCCTCCACCGGGCTGAACTTCTTCAGGATCTGCCCTCTTTCGCTGGGCTTGAAATTCCCTGGAAAGACACAACTAGCATGCAGGGATTGTTTTGTTTTGTACACCAACTGATTCCTAATCCATCTACGCTGACTATCGTGCCATCACCACCCAAGCAGGGAGCTTTGAATTGGTTGAATAGAAGCTCTCTGAAGCTTTAGGTGGTCTTGCTGCCTATTTCAAGGAAAAACAGCTGATTCCTAATCCATCTACGCTGACTATCGTGCCATCACCGCCCAAGCAGGGAGCTTTGAAATGGTTGAACAGAAGCTCTCTGAAGCTTTAGGTGCTCTAACTGACTATGACAGGGGAAACCAGCTGATTCCTAAACCATCTATGCTGACGATCATGTCATCACCACTTTGAAATGGTTGAACAGAACCTCTCCAAAGCGCTAGGTGGTCTTACTGGCTATGACGGGGAAAACCAGCTGATTCCCAAACCATCTATGCTGATGATCATGTCATCACCACTTTGAAATGGTTGAACAGAAGCTCTCCGAAGCTTTAGGTGCTCTTACTGCCTATTACAAGGAAAACCATCTGATTCCTAATCTATCTATGCTGACAATCATGTCATCACCACTCAAGCAGAGATCTTTGAAATGGTTAAACAGAAGCTCTCTGAATCTTTAGGTGGTCTTACTGCCTGTGACAGGAGAAACCATCTGATTCCTAATTCATCTATGCTGATGATCATGCCATCACCGCTTTGACATGATTGAACAGACGCTCTCTCAAGCTTTAGGTGCCCTTACTGGCTATTAAAAGGAAAACCAGCTGATTCCTAATCTATCTATGCTGACGATCACATCATCACCACTCAAGCAGGGAGCTTTGTAATGGTTGAATAGAAGCTCTCCAAATCTTTAGGTGGTCTTACTGGCTATTACAAGGAAAACCAGCTGATTCCTAATCCATCTATACTGACGATCGTGCCATCACCACTCAAGCAGGGAGCTTTGCAATGGTTGAACAAAAGCTCTCTGAAGCGTTAGGTGCTCTTACTGGCTATTACAAGGAAAACCAGCTGATTCCTAATCTATCTATGCTGACAATCATGCCATCACCGCTCAAGCAGGGAGTTTTGAAATGGTTGCACAGAAGCTCTCCAAAGCTTTAGGTGGTCTTACTGACTATTACAAGGAAAACCAGCTGATTCTTAAACCATCTATGCTGACGATCATGCCATCACCACTCAAGCAGGGAGCTTTGAAATGGTTGAACAGAAGCTCTCCAAAGCTTTAGGTACTCTTACTGGCGATTACTGGGAAAACCTGCTCATTCCTAATCCATCTATGCTGACGATCGTGCCATCACTGCTCAGCATGCCAACAACTTAAATCAAGAAACAGCTTCCTAAGATCTACAGAGATACTCGCAGGAACACCTCAGCAAACAAGAGTCCAAAAGTGGCAGGCAAAAACCCACTTCATAGGAAATCTGCTACAAAACAGGAGCTTTTTTGTCAAGTTCCACGGCCAAAGAAGCAGATGGTGGAAACAGAAGAAGGGCCTGCATCAGGGGAGCATGTTTCCTCCATCCATGTTTAACATCTACACAAATGACCAGCCACTGACAGAAAGGACAGAGAACTTAATCTATGCTGACGATGTTGCCATCACCGCTCAAGCATGGAGCTTTGAAATGGTTGAATAGAATCTCTCCGAATCTTTAGGTAGTCTTACTGCCTATTACAGGGGAAACCAGCTGATTCCTAATCCATCTATGTGGACGATCGTGCCATCACCACTTTGAAATGGTTGAACAGAAGCTCTCTGAAGCTTTAGATGATCTTACTGGCTATTACAGGGAAAACCAGCTGATTCCTAATCTATCTATGCTGACGATCATGTCATCACCACTTTGAAATGGTTGAACAGAAGCTCTCTGAAGCTTTAGATGATCTTACTGGCTATTACAGGGAAAACCAGCTGATTCCTAATCTATCTATGCTGACGATCGTGCCATCACCACTTTGAAATGGTTGAACAGAAGCTCTCTCAAGTTTTAGGTGCTTTTAACATTAAGAACAGACAAGCATCTCGAGTTCTGAGGATTACCTAGGAAGGAATCCCACTGTAGCACTACTGTGCACCCAAATACCTAGGAGTTACTCTGGAGTGTGCTCTGACTTACAAGCATTTCATCTATGCCGACGATCATGCCATCACCACTCAAGCTTCTAACACAATCTCTAAAATAAAATTGTGGGAGTTGAGGTCCAAATCACCCGGTGGGCCTAAATTTGCCTGGCTTAAAAGGCATATACTATTGCTAGGAAAGTCTGCCCATCCTCCATCCAATAAGCGAAAACAATGCTGGGAAATCTGAAAAAAACTGTGTTGTTTTTGTGCTCGAACCTTCATGCCCAGCCAGCTGGACCCAGGAACTGCGCCTTCGCACGGACCAGTGCACCATGGTGAAGA